GACCACTCAGCCCAATTCCTTCTCCTCTGACCTCAAATGTCAGGCAGCAAGGGGCCACACCTGTGTGACACATTTTGAATGTTTCTCTTTACTTATCATGTGATTGCAAATGGTCTGAGCATAGAGAAGGTGGGGAGCATGTCCTCTGCTTCTGTAACCCAGTGTGATTCAGACAAGAGAGGCTCAACCACAACTGGAAGAACGAAATCTTAAATCCAGGTTAACCCAATAATTCAACAGACACAGGGATAATATGTACATTCCTCTTTATTTAATACAACAAACACGTGACACATACAAAAAGAAAAAGAACACTCATGTAAGAGGCCCTGTCACAGATGACCGACGGGCAACATCTACACCCAGTCAAATAAGGCTCCTGCTTGCCACAGGCTTTGCTAGCAACACCTGGACTATGAGCAAGGCTGTTGCAAAAAAAGAAATAATCAAAATAAATCCCTGCACTGAAGGAGTATACCCACGGGCTAATTTATGAAATTCACAGATCCATATTTAGGAATGTTCAAGCTCTCTCACGTGAGATGTGTGATTTTTTTTTTGGGGGGGGGTAAAAAATTTACCTGCCCTTCTTTCTTCTTAGAAAACAGTGACAAGAGTTCTCTAAAAAATAGAGACCAGCAACCACCAAGCCGGGTTTGAAACTTTACCACTAGAGTTCAAAGGGCGCGTGGAACTGACGACGTAAAGGCAGGATGGCAGTAACCAGAATTTTAATGTCCTAGCCATTCCTGGGAGCTAGTATTGAATCAACCGCTGGGAAAGACACGAGGGACACAGCTCGGCCCAGTGCAGGGGTCAGTAGCAGCGGTTTGCCCGTATTCCTGCCCGTATTCCTGCTCCGATTAGAGCTGGGAACTGAACGAGCCAAAGCTGGTCTCAGACGAGCCTTATACACAGACACACACGCCCACACCCATCCACAGAGCCGCACCGCCCCTTTCGTTTAAATTTATTATTATTTTTTTACTAAAATAATACAAAAAAGGGAGACAGGTATATTTACAGAAACCCATGGCTGGTACAGTACATAATTTTTAAGACACACTAAATGCTACAATCTTTCAGTCCTGAGATTATTACAAATATCAGCTCAAAGCCTGTGTTCAGGTCCAGTTTGTAAAGGAGAAAAAAAATCCCAAAATATTAAGTCACACACTTGTTTAAAATACAATATATCCCTTCAAGTTAGCAAAAACGCACCTCCCTGTCAACGAACGCAATACAGTAACGAGTGCCGGGCACCTACGCAGCGGCAGTGACTCAGGCCCCTTCCTTCCAGATCAGTTTAGAAACACGCTGGCATCTTTACCAAGTCTGGAGGCAGCTAAGGAAAGAGGAAGATGTGTAACTGGAGGGAAGTTCCTCTACAGGGTGAACGTTCGCTGTTTAAAAAAGTCCCACTTTTCCTGCTATTACCAAACAAAATCCGCGCCATAAGGGTTGGAAAGGTGTGCTTACCCAGATTAAAGAACAGCATCGTTATTTCCAATCAGTTACAGCAAATAGGTCTGCAGTCCCAGAATACTTTTGACAACCGCAGACTAATTTTCTTGCTTGTAACGAGAGAGAGGAGACACCTGTCGCTTGGGTACCTTGGCAGACTCCAATGAACACATAATGCGGGGCAGGAAATTTTCACCGGCCAGAGGTTTATTTTCTTCCTTTTAAGCTTGACAATGCTTAGCAAACGAAGATGTACATATTCCTTAAAGAACACTCTGCTATTTTTGATATGGCCTTTCTCTGGAGGTGGCCGTGGTTCAGGGGAAAGGATCTGTAGACTGGCACCTACCTCTCCTTGTAGAAGGGCCCCTTGCTTAGCTGAAGGTCTCAGAAGGCGTACATGATTAATTACGTCAGCATGGCCAAAGAACCAAAACCAAACCCGCTGCCCGACTCATAGCAACCCTATAGGACAGAGTAGAACTGCCCCGTAGGGTTTCCAAGGCTGTCATCTTTACTGAAGCAGACTGCCACAGCTTTCACCCATGGAGCGAGTAGCTGGTGGGTTCAAACCACTGACCTTTCAGTTAGTAGCCAAGTGATTTAACCACTGTGCCACCAGGGCTCTTATAGGCATAGCCAGGACTTAAAAAAGTTGGCCAAATTCCCAACTAACTAAATAAAACACTAATAGCTTTCTTCATGGAGAAGAGTTTCTTTCTATGTTAACACCTCTAGCCCAAACTGGGGCAATCCTTGGTAACTGTGCAGGTACAGGGAAGAGCAGCCCACGTACTGGCGGAGAGCGCTCTGCCCGCGAACAGCAGCGACCACCAAAAAGGAGGGCGACTGCAGCTGCAAGGATAGAAAACACAGACGGCTAGGATCTGCCAAGCTCAGGGCTGGCTGTCACACGAGACACCATACCCCTGGCTGGTCGTGGCTGCGGCCAAGCCCTAACTGTGCTTTGTGGGTGGATGGAGCTGCTAACTTCAAAAACAAACGTGTTCCCAAGTTATCTCAGGGAACAGTCACCTCGTTTGTGTCTCAACTAGGCTTCTGTTAGTGCTCTATTACAGAATGTCTTAAAACCAGACTTAAGACAAAACAGAATTAGATTACTGGTACCAAAATGCAGGCAAATTACAAATGGAGAGTCTTCTGGGGAACATAACGTTGCTGAGGAGTCAAGGGCCTATCTGACCTGGAACTTCTGGAAGCCGGCTGACTCCAGGAGAGGCATGAGAGCAAGCAAGGCAGAGCATGATGGGATGGAAGAGCTCCCACAAGGTCTGTGTCTCTTCCCAGTCATGTTGGAACAACCTCACAATGGAATGGAGCTACCATCATATTCTGTAGTACAGAAATCTATCTTTTAAAACAAAAGAGAAGAGCAAAAAAATTTCCAGTCACCAGTCACGACCAAGTCCTGGGCAGATAAAAACAAAAAAATCAAACCCGCTGCTGTCGAGAGTCGATTCCAACTCATAGTGACCCTACAGGACAGAGAACTGCCCCACAGGGTTGCCAACGAACGCCTGGCGGATTCGAACTGCTGACCTTTTGGTTAGCAGCTGTAGCGCTTAACCACTATGCCACCAGGGTTTCCCCTGGACAGACAGGCCCCCTTAATTATACTACTTCTTTCTAACAGCATTTTGACCTGTTTGGGTAACTGTTTGGAAAAGTGTCTAAAGTTTAAATGCTAAACAAACTACTGTGAAATAGAAATATGCAGGGAAGGCTGAGAAGTACAAGTATTATAAGACAGAGAAACTAAATAAAGATCACCCACAGCTACTTTCAAGCAAATTTACTTTGGGGTATATGAGGAAAAAAAGGCAGTTTGATGGAAATTTTCTAAGAGTCCCTGCTTGGGTCCTCTGCTGGGCTGTAAACAAGATCCCACAACATCCCTGGAGCCTTTACTTTTCAATTCAGTGGGGACACAGGATAGTCTGCCCAAGTGGGTGAAGAAAGGATGTCGAAGAAAGTTAAACCTTCCCTCCCCAGCCTCTTAGTATGTGGCTTATGTTCCAGTCGATCAACCGGTTGTTAGGAGGTCACCTTGGTGGCTGGGACCAGAGGAAAGAATGAAGACTACAGGAAAAGACTCCAGCATTAACAATCCGAGCTCTTCTCAATCAGTCCGACCTTCTGTTTAGTTCTACAAACCCCAACACCGTGCCACAGAATCTGAACCTTTCTCAGTATCGAGCTCTGGGATGATTTCACCCTAACGACGACCCAAAGACATCCATAAGACCACCTACGGTTCTGCACTAGTGAGAGGAGCTGTCCTTAGTTTCTGAATATAAAGTTCACATTTTAGGCTAGACGGACACACAAAATATCTCTATTTTATGCTTCTCTGTTAATTTTCCCTAGTGGAACACACAAATTCAACAAAACCCTTATGCCTTATTTCTTTGGGCAGAAGTCTTAGCATCTGTTATTTGAAAAATGGAAACAGAGGAAAAATGTAGACCAATAGTGGGAAATAAAGAGTATGTTTATCTGCATAGTTGATATTGAGAGGCTACTAACTAAGGCCTTATCTGGGAAAAGCAACAAAAACCCCCAAAATAATAATAATAAAGTCCTGTCACTAGAGATTAACTGGGCCTTGGCCAAACCTGGGAGTTAAACAACCCCCCTAACCCCCTGCCCAGCTTTGTTTGCTTCCTCTGACTCAAGCTGGATAATTCATTCGTTCTCTTTCTGACCCTGAATAGGAGCTGAACTACAATTTACATCTATAAACACACTAGGAACAACAGCCTTAATCAGCAAGGCAGCATCCATTCTTCCTGTTGTAGCTGCTGTTTTGAATGATAAGAGGAAAGCTGATGTACTAGGACTTCATAGGCAGGGAATCCTTACTTCCTCCTGGGGGCTGGGGGAAGCAAGCTTCCCTCTACCCCCACCCACCCCTGCCCTGGCTAGGAAGCACAGGTTGCCTCCAACTCTTCCATGGTTGAAGCAGCAGGACTCACAAACGGAGACTGGCCAACAGTGCGCACGGCTGACTGTGTAGTGCTTGCCCTCAGTGCAAAGCTGCAGAAACAGCTAACTAAAGGAGCAGTGCGCTCTGACTTACAAGAACGTGGAGACTCATTCATTCTTAGAAAGTTCAAAGTTCAGCTGTCCATCACCAAACAAGTATTTTAAGGAAATCAGACTGAGAAGATGGAAATGTGAGGCAGATAAAACTGTCAAGATCACTGATCATCTCCCATAAGCAATCATCCAAACTTTACCTAGCTTGAGCTCCAGGACAGGCAAAAATCGCACCAGTAGTAACACCACAAAAGGTTCAAAAACCCACTTGCAATCATGAAGCTCAGTGTCATTCTCCCCCCAACCCCATTAACCTGAAACTAACCATTTTATCCCATCACAAATATAATATGTTTAAATAACAAATATGTATCTAAATTAGAATTCCAGTGACTTTTTTTTTTTTTAACTTAAAAATCACATGGTGCTTTTTTGTACCCATTATAAGGGAAACATTTTTCAGTCTCTGCAGGAAGATGATAATACTATTTTTAATTATATAGGACATTTTTAGAAAAACTCAGAATACTTTTGAAATAGTAAAGTCTCTGCTATCCCTGGGAGGTAGGTGAATATTGTTATACCCACTTTTGCAATGGGTAACCTGAGGCACGAAGGTCACACAATACCCCCCTAAACACAGTAAGTCCGAGTGACACGAGTCCACGCTCACTAGCAGGGGTCTTTGCTGTCTCCTTCTGGGCCACCCGTCTCCTCTAATCAAAACCTGACTTAAAAGGGGGCAATTCGCAGATGTATTTGCACTGGGTCTTTGAGGACTGGTTCAACTTAGTCCCCATTAACAAGAAACAGGTAAAGCATAGATGCTGAAAACTACGAGAAATCTAAGTAACCAGAAATCGGATTAAGCCGGTGTAAAATTATCTAGCAAATAAAAACAAAAGTGAAGGTCTCTTGAGAATGCTATAGGTGATGTGTTTTCTCATCATCTGAATTTTTTTCTAAGTTTATCAGCCTTTTAACAGATGCACAGCTATGAATTCTTCAAAATGCATTTCCCAGGAGGAAATACGATGCATCTTTAATGCTGACGAAGGTGCTAACTTCCTTCACAAATTATTCAGACATGACCCCGTGGTCCTTACTCTCGCCCATCACAGTGTGCCTTACCAACGTGACCCACAGAAGACCCTTGCTAGTCCACTGCTTTCTCCCATGTTACTTAGGCAAAGTTTGAAGGGACAAAGCAGTGGGTTCCATCCAGGAAGAGTCAATGAGTCTGCTAAATTTATTTTACGTCTAATAACTGACTTGTGATATATATTTTTGTTAACTTGCACAAACAGATATTGAAATGAAGATAGTATCATGTAAAAAGGCAATGTCCCAATTGCCCATTTCAAGCAACTAAAAGCAATGGAACAGACAAGGCAGAAGTTTTGCAAACATTATTGAAAGGGGAGTCTTCAGAAAGGATGCAATGGTACAGCAGCTACTAGTTTTATATATATATATATACGTATTATATATATGTTTGTGTGTGCGTATAAATACATACATATATATACGCACACACAAACATATATACATATGTATCTTACACATATATCCGTACACATATACAGAAAAGGAAGAGTATTACAGCATGACATGATGTTGGCAAGTCTGAGGTTCTTCCTCCTGAATCCCCGACTTATCAGCCTGTACTTTAGGATATCTGAGAACAATTTCAAAAGAGAGGGGAAAAAAGAAAAAAAAAGAAAAAAAAGGCACTTAACAAAGACAAAGGCCTGAACTGAGCATGTTTTAGGAGTAGCACTAGCATTTTACCAGAGCTAAGAAGTGATTTACAAAGAGTTACACTTTTCCCCTTAAAGTTTTATAAAATAAAACTGCATAACATGTTCTTGTAATCAGTCTTTTATCTACTACTGTTATTTTTCTTCTGCTTCATTATTATAAAGACAAAAGCCCCTCCCCAAAGCACAAAACAAAACGAAAAAACCAACCACACTCGCATAACAGAAAATAAAAGTGCCCCTTCTGAGAACCTAAGGTCAGCAGAAATTACAGTGCTGAAGCACAGGGGAAGTTCTCAAGTTTGGCCTGATTACAGACTTTTCTCATTCTTCTATTTCCAACTTAAAAAACACAAATGAACCAACAAAATAATCAAATGTGAAACCTACATGATAAAAATACAGGGACCAGTGTGCTTTTATGATACACTCCTAAAATAAAGCATCCTAATTCTATACATGGGTCAAATTATAGGATAAAACCCCCTAGAAATAAAGAACTGTCAATTAGACTGAAGTCAACCAATACAGGCAAAGTTCATTACACAAACGTAGCAGCAAATATGACAGACAACTGGAGCCCTAAGAGATGATCCCAAGGGGTACAGAGTTCTCATAATCAATGGCAGTTTGAATAACAGGAGAATTTTTATTTCATAAAATGTCTTGAACCAAGTAGAGGGGGAAAGGGGTGTGGCAGAGGGCAACCAGAGGAGAAAGACTGGAAGTGCCTGCCCTTCCCAACCCTGGGTAGTAAACAATTCAGATCTGCTTTGGAAAAAAAACAGCCTGGGTTAAAATCACTTCCAGCAAGTTTTTTCCACCAGGTGTCAAACCCACAGCATTCAAACACATGCCCAGTTCTTCCCCTTTACCTTGGTGATACAATAAACCCAACTCAGCTTTTATGATGTAAAAAATGTAATGGGGCTAACAACATCCATCCAAGGGGTGGTGGGCATGAGAGAACACACTAACACAATCCTCTCATGTCCTCAAAACGAGATCAGGACTTTGTCCCTTGGGATTAACCTCACTTCTTTTCTCGAAACCTTTTTCTTCAGGCCGCTTAAAAATCATGATTTTTTTTTTTTTTAAACCCTCTGATCTCAGAAGCATACGAGAAAGCATTATCATAGACTTATAATGGAAATTATTGCTTGCATTTACTTTGGAGGCTCTGAATGAGCTTGACACTTTGCTCCCAAACAGTCTCCATCTGAGGCCCAGCACTGTCTCGGAAGACAGCTCCGCTGCCCATTATTGCTTGTGAATACTGAGGATTAACTTGTATGTACAGTAACAGCTTATATCATCAGTGAAGGCAATTTAAAACACAAGATAGTGTTGAAAACAAACAGCTCAGTCTTCCTGAATCAAGAATCCCACAAACGGGACGTAATTAAGTGTGCTGATTATTTTTGCATTGGGGTGTTGCTAACGCTCTCTGGAAACATGTCACTCTACAGCCTTTCAGACTACTCACCACCTTAAAAAATAACATGATTCGATTTCAAGTGCAAAAATACAGTATGAGTCGCAAGTCTCTGTGCTAAAAATAACCAATTTACACGTTGGTTTTTAGTACGAAAAACTGTGAATACAGGTGGCCATGAAGCACGGACGCCATTTTCAATGTTATGGTCTACACGCAGGAACTCTGATCACACTTTATCCACGCATGATATACAAGTTGTCTGACCCATCTGTACACCAAGAGGGGGACTGGACTGAGAGGAAGGAGGTGGGGTCAGTGCAAACGTGGTGGGCGAGGGGGCCTGGCAGCTGCTCTTCAGGCATCGAGACTGAAGAGAAAAAAAATAGAAGCCCCCCGTACGGACTTCTTAAGAGCCGAGGGCCTTCAGACATCTGACTAGTTTGTATACAATGATGCTGGGGGAAGAGTTCATGATGTTTTTTCTAATGACAACAAAGAAAGGAGTCAGCAGGGATCTTCATAAGGCATGATTCAGAACTGATGGGTTAAGAAATTAACATTATTTCTTGATTTAAACCTATGATGAATTTATATATACCTCTGTGTGTGTGCATCTATATTTCCATGTATACAGGCGCACACACACTATGTATACGTGTGTACATGCACAATGGTCAGCAGGAAGACAGATCAATATGCACTCTGAAAAGATCTGATTTCTCTCCTGGTATGAGAAGTAAAACAAAGACTATCTTTCCAAGGAAAAGCTCCTATCACTTACCCAGATACTAGCAAAGACATTTTTTCTCAAATTAGAGAATAGTAAGAGGTCCACCACACTGGAACAAACCAAGAACTGGTAAACGGCCCCAATGAAAAACCAGCCAAACCTTAATCAAACATACCCAATGCAAGTCAGATCTTTCTGCAAGACACCACGGTCCTCCCAAAGTGCCCACTGAGGTGGACATGACATTCTTGTTTGTTTCACTGGTAAACTAAACTCTTAGAAGCCAAGAAATTGTATCAATGATTCCTTTGAAACAATCTTTTCCCCTTATTGTAACAAGTTCTTGGAACTAAAGTTTTCATTATTTCTTAACTAGTTACTATGAAGCCAGCCAATGTGACTTTGAAGCCGAAGTAGAGGCATAGAGATCTGAACAGATCTGCGGAAATTTATTCACAGTCCTATAGATCATTTGGGGCTTTTGTTTATCAGAGGAGAAAAGTATTAAATAAATAATACTTTCATTTAAATAAACTTAATGGTATAGGGTGATGTGTAATGAAGACATATGAGCGAAATCTTGCTACTACCAGCCTGATGCTGAATAGGTTTTGTAACTTTGTTTTTTTAGATTAGTCTGTTATTATCCATGGACCATGTAACGAGCTTAAACCACCCTTATGGGCACAGTCTGAAAACATTTAGAAGCCTAAATAGGAAAAAAAAAGCAGGAGAAAAAGGATGAGGTGAAAAAAATCAAATCAAATGCATCCAAACAGATACATTTCTCCCTTAACGTCCTTTGTGGGCTATGCCGTTTGCATAACGAAGGAGTCTTATCTGAGGTTTACTTTCACACCAACGTTAGTAAAGCTTTAAGATCCTAACTGCTCCAAATCAATTTTGCTACATTGGACATAGGGAGTACAAACGTGCTGTGAATGTTATAAAAAATAATCCCTTCACCCTAATGTAATTCTTTCTTTAAAATAGCATCTTCAAAATCCCAAATGGACGAATGCCATCCTGAATGACCACAGAGGCCTACGCAGTGTGCCAGCAGCTCAGACCCCCTGAAGAGCCGCCAGCTGAGAGAAAGAGAACAAGAAGCTGTGAACTGAGGGCAAGTGAGGGGCGCAGGGGCTCCCGACAGTTGGCGCTGGCCGGCCTGTGACGGCTCAGAGCACTGAAGCAGCAGCCTGAGAGCAAAGGAGCCCCACTTTGCAAGAGAAAAATGTGAACACAGTCCCATTTTAACATCAAGAGCGGCAATACTAACCGTCAATACCAGATGCACAAATCACCTGAAGAAAAGAGTTAAGTACCTGCTTCTGAACGGAAGATGTGACTGACCCTTTTACAAAAAGGGGACGTCTAGGTTTCGTCTGACTTTAGAAACCACGGTGACTCAGTAACATACATCACTGCGCTAACACAACTCTCCTCCGGCATCTCCCGCCCACTGCTCTGCGTGGGGAGCTGCCCTCTGGGAAGATTCCAGTTTGCTCAGGATTTCTGAGGACACGGCACATATTCAGCTACTGCTACATCAGATGTAGGGCCACTATTTTTTTTTGTGTGTGTGGCAAATATGCTGCGTAGTCTACTCCAACAGACATGATCATACTCCTGACTAACTGGCCTAATTCCAGGATACTGCCTTTTATTACACAATTATGCCGGCGAGCATCCAGATCCGACCCCTAAGATGGATGGTGTCCACCCCCGAATCCTCTCAACTTCCTCTTCCTCCCCCGGGAAAAATCAAATTTGTACTTCTGTGGGTTTGACAACTGAGTCTCTTTCAAGTCAGTTAATATGGTAACTCTGTCTTTCTTTAGAAGAGACCAAAGGTCACTAACTTTGCACGAAAGCATTGCTTCCTCCTGCACCTGGCTTTGATCAAGTAATTTTTTTTTCTTTCCTCCTCACCACAGTGCTTGGGACGAGAGAATGTAAACATCGACAGAAGCAGCAGCTGTGACCACACAAGTACTTTCCCTTCAGGTAGAGTCCACCAGCCAATCACACGCCTCCTCGCCTTTGCTCGCTGGGAAGTCACTGAGATTTCCGCGGCAGTTTACTGTCTCCTTTACTTTGGCCTCCATCTGAGAAAAAGAGATGTTGGATTGGTATGGGTTGGCATGTTATTAAAAAGTACGTAAGGAAAACAAAACAAAGCACAATTAACTTTTATGTGGATGACATGGCTAAAAAGTTCATTTTGAATATCCTACACACTGTAGCATTACAAAGGTTGATAAAACACAGAGGAGATAAAAACGCAACAAGAATCATCCTCGTCTCAGATGACTGAGGCTCAACTGGTTTCGGTGGTCTATAAAAACAATTTCAGCAAGTATTTATCATCTGCCCCACAGCCAACTGTGTCAAATGCTGTCAAGATTACAGAGGAACCAGAAGACATATTAATTGTCACCTTCAAGGGACCTACCACATCTTTTGATTTCTTTAGAAGACAGGGTGAACCTACATTTCTTGCAAGTGGAATTAAATTTCTTCCCGTGGTACTGGCGATCAATTCTCAGTTATTTACGTAAATGAAAGGGGCCACTGGCAGTGAAAACCCAGCTGAGTCCTTGTTTGGTCCTAAGCTGCTGTAACAGGAAAGTCGGCTACTGGGGACCATGGTTCTGTTTTGTACACGTGGTTGTCTGGCTGTTTGTGAGGAAGATGTTGATCCCTCCAGTTAAGTGCCACCTAAGTTGCCACAAAAACTGGGCAAGAGCGGAGCTCAATGAGATCAAGAGCCAACAGAATACACAGTCTCTCATAGGTCGCTGCCCCAAGAGCAAAGCCTCAAAGACAACCCCCAGGCCTGAGAGAAAAAGACAGGAGGAGGGAGCCTTTACTTTAAGGGAAGAGGCATGAATAGTAGAAGTGGAGAGGAACAAACTATCGCATTATAATAACAGGCTCTAAGGCTGGAAGAGACCGCAGAAGTCACATGGCCTGGTGTGTCCATGTAATACCTAAATCCCTCCAGCAAAACCTAAACACAACAGAACAACTGCCTCTGTCGAAGGAAAGATCCATCAGTGAGGCCAGATGATTATTTCAGAAGTTGTACATGAAGAATACTGTCAAAACTGCTTCGGTGAGCGTATCTGAGAGACTGGTTTTTCGGTTTATAGTGAGATATTATACACCTGTTTGTAGAAAGGCTTTGACCTGAGGTATAATTAAATTCATAAACTAGCAAGGTGTTTTTAAGTGGGGTTTTGCTCAAAGAAGCTACAATTAATTAACAAAATAAAATACTCATATTAGCTGGACTGTGAGATTCCTTAGACCAGGGTTGAGCAAACTACAGCCCAAAGGCCAAATCTGGACTGCCACCTGTTTTTGTAAACAAAGTTTTATTGGAACCCAGCCACACTCATTCGTTTACATATTGTCTGTGGGTGTTTTTGCAATAAAATGGCAGAGTTCAGATCATATGGCCTGCAAAGCCTAAAATATTTACTATTTGGCCCTTTACAGAAAAAGTTTGCTGACACCTGCTTCAGGCGATAAAGAAAATTCACATTACTGAGCTCTTACTATGTTATCAGGTACTATGCTGGAAGGTTTAAATCAGTTATTTTTATTAACTTCTCACAAGAAGCCTCTTAAAAACACCTTATTATCCCTGATTTATAAGCAAGAGATGTGATGGTCATAGTGGCAGTTCTGGAATCAAACCCAGGCCTGACCCCCAAGTCCAGTGACTCATGCTTTGAAATGTTTTTATAAAACAAAAATTTCAAACAGTCCCACTTCAATCACATGTCGACAGCCATACTTCCCTTCCCCTCTGTACAGTGGTGCTGCCGGACAGGGGGCCTTGTCTCAGCAGGGGTCACGTGGGTGCCCATCTGCCCAGGAGTGGACAGCTCTGGGCCAGACCCATGCCACGCAGTTGTCACGGCCAGCTTGGAACTGCTTTAGTCAAAGGCAAAGACCCTCCTAGTTTAATGAAGCCTGATCGACGAGTTCAGGGGCCTGAGGACCCTGACATCTGTGCCTACTTTGTCTCAGCAGTTGTGCACGACTGGGTTTTCTATCCATTCCTCAAGGAGTGAGTGTGGGGCAGCTCACCACTTAGGACTTCCAGGGGATTAATGCCAACCTGTGGCCTGGAGATGCCACACAGCTCGTTTCCACATTGTGGTCAACTGTAAACTGGTTCAAAGACCAGTGAGGCCCCAGTCAACTTCCTAGGTAGGGAGGACGGCTGAGCAGTCATCTCTGCTCAAAAGATCCTTAAAGCAGCCTTTGGAATAGTATCAACAGTCAACTGCTGGTGACAGCAAGAACCCAAACTTGGTGTTAAGTTAATATGGCCCAACCCATATCCCACGTCCTGCAGCCAAGGCTTCACACGCTGTGTCCACTAACTTCAGCTTCAAGAGTGACCTAGCTGGGCTGCAAGGACATGAAGGATACAGGCTGGGTCATAGCAACTTCATTACTACTCAGGGGCAGAAAGTTTAATGGTTAAGAATACAGGCCATGCATTTGAATCGCACATCAAACCCTTACTATGTGTTATCTTGAGCTCCCTGATTCGGCTTCCTGATCTGTAAAAAGGGGACAGTTTGTATACTTCACAGGCCCGCTGTGAAGATTAATGTAAGCAGTCACATGACCATCTTGCACTTAGTAAGCCTTCACTAAAGGTAAACTATTATAATTACTGCACATAGCCTTTGTAAAATGCTTTACAAATCCTGTTCTTGGTTCATCTAATGAACTGAACTCAGCAAGGCTCACTCTTCATATACACATAACAGAAGACCTTCTTTACTTATTCTCTCTCTTTTAAAAGGAGTTTGTTGCCAATGAGGATTCAGTCATATGAAAATTTGTTTTTCCCAACCTTTGTCATTCCATCCACATTTTTTCAACAAAGAAAAGCACGATCTCTATCTGTATGCTGAAATAAGGCACGAGGAGAGAAGAAATGGCAGCTGTCTTACCGTGAAATGTTTGCTGTAAGTGTACAGGCAGAGGGGAGTGGGAAAGTGGTGCTGCGTGCTGAGCTCCCGGCTGTAAACCCTTTAGTAAATCTAGAGGAAAAGAGACTTGTCAGTGACCTTTTCTAGACTTGAACTGGAGCCCTCTCAGATCAAGAACAAAAACAGTTTGATTCATCAAATGCACGCACAGCCTCTGACTTCAAGTAAATACATTTTTAAAGACTTACACATATAAATGTCTATGTGCATGCAAATAACCCAGCAAATCTGACTTCCTCTTATTATGAATTTCATTTAAGGTAGAAAATGTGGTATAGACGGTTCATAAAAAAATTGTAAAGAAAATCCCAGACCCCAGTAATCTGTCTTGCTATATACTGATGAAGCAAACTATATTTCTTAAAAAAAAAACACCTCTGTAATCTTCACTCACTCCAAGGTGACAACACTCAGTGGGTATAAAGCAGCGTGGTTTCCTGCTCTGTCCCACTAGACAGCCCCGTCAGCGCAAGAGCCCACTTACTCTGAGTTAGGCTGTGGTGGAAAGCGGCTGAGGTAGATCCCGAGGTGCTTGTCACTCCAGCTGTGTCCGTTCCAAAGCCAAGTAGCTCCAAGGGAAACTGGAAGGGCATGGTCACTGGAACAAGGCCACCCAGCATCCCAAAAGGAGTCACATTTTGATTTGTTACAGACAAAGGTGATGTCATGAGAGTCAGAGGTGAGGCATTAGCCAATAATGACGCTCCTGCTGTGGACTGCAGAAACCAGGGGTCAAAACGGAAAAGAAACAAAGGGCTTAACCTATACTAACTCCTTTACTCAGTGCCCTCAGGGACACAGGGCCGTGGCTTTATTTGTTCATGCTCCTGTGGTGGAGGGCAAAAAACCTGTTGCTGTGAGTCAATTCCAACTCAGAGTGACTCTACAGGGCAGAGCAGAACTGCTCCATAGGGTTTCCAAGACAGTAATCTTTATGGACGAAGACTGCCACATCTTCTTCCTGTGGAGCGGCTGGTGGGTTCAAACAGCCAATCTTTTGGTTAGCAGCTGAGCACGTAACCACAGTGCCACCAGCGCTCCTCGGATGGCAGAAACCAGGGGTCAAAATATAAAAGAAATAAAGTGCTTAACCTAAATGGACTTACTAACACCCTCATGGGTGCAAGACCGTCTTATATGCCCTAACAGAAACTCTGTGAGGAAAGAAATTAAGGCGGACAATATATTTCAAAGAGCTACCAATACTGGTTTTGAAAATCTGCAAATTATATTTGGAAATATTAGCATACTCAGCTCTTCATCACCACTTTAGATTTCTCAGCAGCTGTTTTAACGGTGCCCATATCAACAATGGATACGCTGGCAGCATACTGGTTAAGTGCTACGGCTCATAGCCAAAAGGTCGGCAGTTCGAATCCACCAGGCACTCCTTGGAAACTCTATGGGGCAGTTCTACTCTGTCTTATATAGGGTCACTATGAGTCGGAATCGACTCGACGGCAGTGGGTTTGGTTTTTGGTTTGCTATATTAACGCTGGCTCTCTTAACGCACTCATTCCTAACTTGAGATTTCCACTTCTCCACTTGTGATCCTAGCCCACAGACCCAAACCACCAGTAATTAATTCCACACAATTTCAACTCTGCCTTTGAAAATGCTCAGTTGTTTTACTGTTTATCTGACAGTCTTTCCTGGCACAATCCCTGAAGCTGCTGCCGTTGCAGACTGACATTCTCTCGCAGTCTGGGCTCTGTCCTTTACTCTCATCACATGACCTTGAAGAGACGAGCCTATCCCACCGAGGACGTTCTTCCACATCATCAGCCTTACCTGTTCCCGCACTTCCCCTATGCCGTGAATCCCACCTGTGCAGAACTTGCTTGAACAATTTCTACTATTGTACCATCACTTCCACATCTCCTCTGCCTTCCCCTATCTCTTCTCTCCTTTTGCAACCATGTCACTATTCCCCAGCTTTCCCCCAAGCCCCAGCAACAATCTTACTTATTTGCATTCAATCTTACTTATTTGCATTCAATCTTACTTATTTGCATTCCTTTTATTATCAACCTTACTGAATGAGGCCTCCCTTCACACACTACCTAGTCATTCCTTAGCTTCTGAAAGCTGGCTGCCATTTCCCCTACTTTCCTGAAATTAGGCTCCCTGAGGTAAGTTAGACAATGTTTTGATACTTTCTCCACCAAGGTTCTGAGGCCATGATTACAAAAACAAACACTCAAATCAGACATATACCAACAGTGATAAGCTTTCATTGAGAAATTCCTTAAGTATACGCCATTAAGCTACTTTAAGTCTTTGATCAACTTTGTACACAGGAGTTAATCATTTTTTCCCATTTTGACTTTGTTTTTATCTATGTGCATTTATCAACGAAAACGATACAATTAATTTTTCTCTATATCAGGTATTACCTATTGTAGTCTCTGCCACTGTGAGTTTTCTTTTGTTGTCTTATTTTACCAACTCCAAATTCCCCTGGTAAAAAATTTACAGTTCTAGATTTGGTCAGGAAAATTGAATTCTTTGATTTTTTTAAGGCAATAATCATATATGTTAGCTATCGTCTGTTTTATTTTGTGTATTGATTATTTCTACCAGTAAACATTATTAATTAATAAAGCACCAATTGTTTCATTTGTTTCTTAACATTCAAGAAAAATGTAGGCAACTTCCTCATAGGTATATACCACATTATATACGTTTATACACTTCCTGGTCCATGCCACTGCTGGACAGAAAATGAAGACCATCCTCAAGAAGCCTTCTAACCTGGTTCTTTCAATACCTCTCTAATCTCTCCTCTTCCTTATCACCTTCATTTGTTCTCTCTCAAATTTACATCCACAGTTCTAACCACTCATCTCAATTCCAGTCCTGCGTTTCTAAGAGTTAAGTGAATAACTCCAACTGGGCTCTAACACCCACCAATCTGGCATGTCCACACTGAACTCAGAGTCTTCCTCAGTCAGCTTCCCACCTCATGTGTTAACTGCCATCATCACTAAACTCATTCTTTACAGGCCCGCGGACTTGACGCCTCAGTCTTTAGGCAGCATAAACTGGAAGACATGATAAGCACATCGTCAACAAAGCCGTTCTTTCTTCTCTCCCTACCACAAGTTCCTCCAACACCAACAACAAATCTCCGTCACTTGATGCTCATGACGGACTACTGTTATTGCCAGTCTTTCCCTCTATTATGCCAACCACGATAAACAAGATTGGCACATTTAAGAGAGACTATATTAGTTAGAAATGATGTCTTGAAGCAACCTGGATAGAAATGATCCTCCATCAACTTAAAAATCAACAAGAGTCATTTCTTCTTTTAATCATGCTTCCCCTGTAGTCTTAGAGAGGACAATGCGGAGTCTCTGAGGCTGTGTGCCCCAAGTGCAATCCCCTAGCGAGGACCGTGAAATCCTGCTAATAAGGAGAACTCTTCTTAAACTTTTCTTGAGGGGCTAATGGAAACATTAAAATAGATGGGAAGCAAAAATTAGGGCAACTTCCTAAATTAACAACTATGAGCAATAAAAAGAGATACCATGACATAACTAACATTTTATACTTTCAACGAACTTTCCCAATCATTTTTATTTGTTCTTAAAACTAAATTGAAACATTAGCTAATCTAAATGTTACATGGCCATTTGTAAGTTTTTCTAACCTAGAAGATGGTGACCTTTCAGAAGTGGGTGTCCCACTGATACCCTTTGGGAGCATACAGAAGTTGTCAACATGAAGTAGGTGCATACTTCAGGATAAGGCCCCACAATCAAAATGCTTTCCATGACCTCTATATTCCATCCCCAGGGGAAAACGCAAAGAAAACCTTCCCTTCCTGTGGTGGGCATTACATCTTTTTTTTTTTTTTTTAAAAAAAAACCACACATTCTTGTTTGGTGTACCTCAATCCCCCATTCTCCACAGCACCCAGAGTCATCTAAATCAGACCACACTGCCCCTCTGTTTAATATCCTTCAATGACTTCCCACTGCACACAGAACAAAACCCAAAGTCCTGGTCTCGGCCCACAGATCCCCATGCTGTGGCTCTGGTCTACTCTGCTGTCAACACCTACCAAGCCTCCCTACAGTCAGTCCTGCCAGCCTTCACTTCACGCTCTTTCCCATCTCGGTGGCTTCACCCCTACTGTCCTCCCTGCCTGCATGGTTTCTCCCTCCTGTTATCACATGGCTCATTCAGTTCTCTGCTCCAACATTTCCTCCTCCAAGGGGCCTTCCCTGACTCCTCTATCCATGCTGGCAGCAATCACTCTCAGTCATCTTGCCCTGGTTTAGTTCTTCACAGCACTTATCAGATTTCTTAGAGCTTGTTTTTTTGTTTCTCCTACCTAGAATGTATCCTCCACGAGAGCAGGGATCCTGAGTAGGTTGTTTAGCCTATAACCCCAGCACCTAGAAGAGTGCCTGGCACATATTAAACAGTCAACATTTGCTTAGTGAATGATGATTTCTGGAATTCTAAAGTGGCAAAGACAGGATTCACAGAAAAATTAATCTGAAGGGCAAGAAAGAAGTCTCTAAGTGGGAAGTTATCAACCAGAAAGCAGACAGAGCTAACAACCTGAACCCGGAGGATTTTAACTTCCATCAGACCTGGGACCTGCCATTCCCACCCTGTAGGCGAGCAGACAGCTGGAGGTGCCGCTCAATCAGGTGCTAACGTTCTGCAGCTCAGGTAGGAAATCTGGTTTGAGGGTTGGTGTGACAGAGACAGGACCTAGAGGCTATAAGCAGCTGAGAGACATCAGTGAGGTGCTGCATTAAAACCAAAAGCATCCTGGGCACACCAAAAGGTGGAGACCACCTTATCCACTACGGACCATTCTTCAGTCAAGCCAACAAGAAAGGAAAAAGAGCTCAGACATGGAGGCAGGACACCAGGGTCCCAGGTTATAGAGTCATTCAGAAGAGGAAGGAAACCAGGAGAGAATGGTTACGTTTCAAAACTGCAAACTTCGCCATGTAGCTTCCTTGAGGGCAAACCAATTATTTATTAGACGGTATCCAGGTTCTTCTGGGAAAAGAGAAATGATCAAATATAGGAAGGTCTCTAGGAAAAAACGGAACCAATAGATTCTATAGTTGACAAAGGATGGAGAAAGACTTGAGTTCAAAGAAAACTACGTAAGTGGAAAAAAAATAAAGCAATTTTTAACTCCAGGGAAAAAATGAAAATCTCTAATAAGAAAGCAAATGAAACCAGAGTGCACTATACTTAGCTCAACAGAGACAATATTTATGTGGTTATGGATTTAACCAAAAATTGTGACATTACTCTTTCAGGAGAGTGGGGAAGGCGTAAGAGAGCTAAAAGCCTTATTCATCATAAAGAGAAGTCAAAAGATAATACTAAAACGGATGAATTAAAAGTTCTCTATTCATGCTTTTTATCTGAAAAGACACAGATGGAAAAAGCTAAGAGCTGAAAATGGATGACACCAGGGAGGAAAACATGGGGCAAGGACCTGCTATTTCTGTTATAATCCTTTCACACATTCCTTTGATCAAAATATTCACTTAAGAAAGTCAACTTCTTAATAAAGAGAATACAACCTGGAATGTGGACTAACTCCCACACCTTACCTATAACTTAATTTTCAACATATAATCCCTAATACCAGTTAGTTTGTTTTTGTTATTTTAATTCTGACGAAAGTAAAATGATATAGATAAAACATTCGTTAATCCTGGATTTCACTTGCTGCAGTACCAGTTGACTGAATTTTGTTCCACATTAGCATGCCTTCAGTGATGGCACAAGAAGGATCTGGGTTGCAGGTGTGCACTGAATGCCAACCCTGAGCCTGTGTTTATCAGCACAGAACCTGTAGAACCAGCAAGGTCAAAAGTCTCTCATTGGATATTCTGATTCCATTTATGCAGGAGGCAGTACAAAGTGAAAGCACTTCCTTAGACAACAGAATTAAATAAATATGCCAACAAAAACCAGGTTTTCAAAGAATATTTAAGAACATAAGAACCTGTACATCATAAAATGTTTATTAAAAAAAGCTGATTATGAAACAGAATAGTGTGTAAAACATACTTGAAAAGAGTCTAAGAAAGTTCCAACAAAATATGAGCAGTGTTGAGATGACAGATGACTTTTTTTTTCAATTTGCCTACAGTGAACACGTACCGTATTTTAACACAAATAACGTGGGTCTTCTGTTATTTGCCAACCGAGCTCTCCTTCTCAAGGTATTTTCTTAAGCAGGTTATGCTAATTATTTTTTTTACAGCTACGTGTAAAAAAATACTTGGCTTAGCAGCACTTATGAAAATACCTCACGGGGGAGGGTGTGGTTGGCAAACAAACATAGAAGGTACATGTTATTTTCATAAAAATACAGTATTACTTTTCAGGAAAAAAAATTAAAGAGATCAAGTCAGTAATGTGAAGGACAAATTTGAGAAAAACTCTGAATACAAAGGGGCAGAGAGAGGAAAACAATGAAAGAGAAGATGATATGGCTGACAAAAAGATGAAATACATGAATAATGAGTTTTCCAAAAAAAAAAAAAACAACAAAACCTAAGACAAAGGTTTCAGAAACAATAATCACAGTCATAATAGGACAGAATTTTCTTGAACTAAAAAAATAGTCAGGTCTGAGATGGAAAGGTGTTACTATGTTCTGGGCACAAAATTAATAAAAACCAGATGAGCCCAGCTATGGTCTGGGGATGCTTGACTTTCAAGAAAAAGGAGAAAAGCTCATTAGCATGTGGGCAGAGAAAACACATTCCTTTTAACACCAAACCCACTTAACATCGAGCTGACTTCAACTCATAGTAACCCTACAGGACAGAGCAGAACTGCCCCATAGGGTTTCCAAGGCTATAGATCTTTAGAGAAGCAGACTGCCACATCTTTCTCCCATGGAGTGGCTTGTGGGTTCAAACTGCTGATTTTTTGGTTAGCAGCCAAGCACTTTAACTGCTGCGCCTCCAGGGCTGCTTATTCTCTATAAGGGAACAAAAAAAAAAATCAGAGTGGCCTCAGACTTCTCAATCCTAAATACTGAGCAAGGATCAGGGCAGCAGCATTTACAAAGTCTGGTGTGGAACAATGAGTGAGCCGGAAGTCTATACCTACCCCTGTGGGACAGCACAGGAAGAAACGGTGAGGTGGGCAAGAGCTCAGGTGAACCAGCAGTCATGTTCCCCTTCTTGAGGGGATTCTGTGAGTGAAGTACTCCGGCCGAGAGGGAGATTTAAATGAGAAACTCAGGACTGGGGAGACTGTGGCCTATAAGGACTACTGACACTAATATGACATAGAAAATTACATGCACAAATAGCTGTTTAACATTAATGCAAAATAAAAACATTTATTTGAAAAGATAAATGGTTAAAAAAATAAAATGAATGTATAAATCGGATTAAATAAAAAATGAAACTGGCAGGAGAAAGGGGACTGGGGTGAGGAAGACAGGAGATGAGTGAATATACGTTTAACTCCTCAGTTACTACTTTGTTCAGTACTTTGATAAGCAACATAGTTGTAAATATGCATTTTAGCTGTGCTTTTCAAAAATGTTTAAAGTGAGCACGTGATATTTTACTAGGGAAAAACAAACCAGTAACAAAACACATCCCAACAAAAACTTCATCCAAAACCACCTCCGTCATGTGAGTAACAGGAAAATTCCATGGTCTTAAGATATAATCACCCTACTACAGGTAACCTATATTCTAATCAGCCTATGGTTAAATGGGCTCACATGAAGGATGGCGCCATCTTACGTTTTATCACACGGACGTGTAAAGCATACATACCTGCACACTGGCTGTTACCACTGAAGACCCTGAGGCAGAGGATGGTCTATGTGGAGTAGACAACGGTTTAGTAGCACCCTGTGTTCCACTTCCTGTTCCCCCAGACAGACTAGTCCTATTAGCTCTGCTTGAGTTAAGGTTGCCACCTCTGCTGGCAGGTACATTCACTGCAATTCCACTCAAGCTATTCTTCCCAACAGTTCCAGTGGATGATGAGTTTGTTAGCTTTGAAGAGGCCTGAAGATTTTTTGTAGACGGAAGGCCTGAAGTGCGATTAGCGGGTAGTAAGCTCAAGGTGGGAGACTGTCTACTGACGCTCATTCCACTGGGCTGTTTATGGACTCTGTTGTTACTGCTGGAGTGACTACTCTGGGCTACTAGTGCATTTGGACTGGAAGAACTTGGGGATACAGTGGGCTTGGGAGTTGGGCTGGATTTAGACATAAGCTTAGTTGATACTGAAGGTTTAGATGACAGAGAGGGCTTGGGTGAGGGAGAAGGCTTAGGTGAGGGCAGGGGTTTCGGAGATGTGGCAGGTTTCGGAGAGGCAGCGAGTTTGGGGGATGCAGCCATTGAGAAGGGAGATTTGAAACCCTGCGTGGAGATCTGCGACACCATAGCCTTGGCTAAATAGTTACTGGAGGTAGTGGTGCTAGGTGCTGTCCTAGAGACCAGGGGGTGAGACCCTGGAGAACCATTTCCAGATGAGGGAGTGGACAAGGGGAGGCGGTACATAAGTGGCTTATCTGAAGTCTTCATAAGTGGGGATGAGCAGGACAGGTGGGGGGTATTACTTAATTTCACCACTGGGTTGGTCTGTGATTTACTAATGGTTGCTTGCAATGGAGACACGTAGTTCTGCTGGACAGCTGAATGCTGGTGCACCTTTGTGACCTGTGTTAACGAAGACACATCCTGGGCCTCTGACGTTCCCAGAGCATGAGAGGAGGCAGCGACTTGGGCTTGGGATGAGGAGACGTGGGTCTGTGAGGAGGAAGAAGCAGGGATCTGGCCTGACCTCTGTAGCCCTTGCTGAAGTAGCCTGGCTGGCAAAGGTTCCAGGGAAACTTTAGGGTTCTGAATCGAAGACCCAGCAATAAGGCCTGAAGAGATGCCGGTCTGAGCTAAATCCTGGGGTTTCTTTGGCACTGGTCCGGTGTGGCCAGCAATAAGACTCGACGAATGTGCAGTCGGAGTAGAATCAAGCTTTTTGGGAGCAGCCAGTGGCAGCTTACTCATGATGCTTGCTAATTTTTCTTCTCTCAGTCCTGGACGAGGTTTTGTTGTTGGCATGTTTATCCTGGAGCCAACTAGGGGACCCTTGTTCCCACTGTTGATAACAGCTAGAGCTTCAGAAACCAACTCCAGTGAGGGTGAAGGGAAGGAAAAGTCTCCATCCAGGGAGTCGTCAAGGCAGATGGTTTCCTGGGCTGCTACCGAGCCAGAGCTGGTGGAGGCCACGGCCGAGGAGCCGGAGCTCGCCGGGGGGCCGCCAGTGGGAGCTGCCACGGAGGCAGGGGTCTTCTGGTCCTTTTTTGGACTGCAGTCCTAGCAAAAACAGCATCGTTTGGGAAAAATAAAAATAATTAATAAAAAATTATAAAATATCAATTTTTAAACAACTAAAAGTCTCATGATGATAAAAATTATTTTTCTATTGGAAATCTTCTTTAGAGACTGTCAAAAATCAAAATAATTTTTGAGAGGATGGCACTCTTGACTGAGCTGTCCTCCCGAGCCAAAGGTATCTGGTATACCTGCCCTAGCAAAGCAAGCCAGCTAAGAAGAGGGCTGGGAACCAAGCTGAGGGAACAGTCATACGCTGGTTGCATTACAGATGAAGCCCCTGCCAACCTATATCAGATCTTCAGGCATTATTCCATACCCATCTGATCAGAGACTCTCCTCTTCTTCTTCTCCCTGACCCAGGAGAACTCTCACCTTTATATTAAGTCTCTACCCCGACTGCCTAGTATGATCTGCTAAGATGTTGGCCTAATGGTATGTATGCCTCCCTGCATCTCTGCCTCTTCCTATGCTTTGGCCTGCAGCGACCCCAGCCAGCACAGAGAGAAACCGGAACACCAATTAACATCTAAATGATAGATGATTCAATCCTAAAGAAACAAAAATACAAACCCACACTGCTGAGTTGATTTTAACTCACAGCAACCCTACAGAACAGAGTAGAACTGCCCCACAGGGTTTCCAAGGCTATAAATCTTTATGGAAACAGACTGCCACATCTTTCTCCCGTGGAGTAGCTGATAGGTTTGAATCACCGACCTTCTGGTTGGCAGCTGAGCACTTTAACCACTGCACCACTAGGGCTCCTGATTCAATCTTAGTGTACTTAAATTGTTTTCTAGTCATTACATTGAAAGTCGTCTGTAACTCATTCAACAAATATTTACTAAGTGTCAACTATAAGAAAAGCACAAAGCTAAGAATACAAAGGTATTGGGAATTAAAACTCTGAATACTTAAGAGAATATTGCCTGTTTTGACAAAAAATTAACTTTCTTAAAATTCAAGGAAGAGATAATAGAATTAGAGCACAATTTATTCAAAGGGCAAAAGAATTAAAAAGCAACTGTTTCCTTTTGAAGAGAAATAAAACGTATTTGATTCATTTCCTTTGTAAGATTAAGAAATAAAACCATTAGCTAAAAATCATTTCAGCTTCTTCAACTAGTTTCTTAGAAATAAACAAACAAAACCCCTAAGTAAGCCCAAACCCAGGAGTCTTCTCTTCTGCACTGATTTATACAGACCCCACACTTACGGTAAGTGGGGACACACTGGGGAAGAGTGGGCTTTACCACCCGCTTCTAAGGTATTACAGAAGTCAGCTGTCAGGAATGCTCTGCGCTCTAACTTCCCTCAGGGCGTCTCTGAGCTTCTCTTCTAAAGCCCTGACTGAAGACCTCACTGCCTATCAGAAGTACCTGGTGTAACTGCAGAAGGCCACACTCGTCTGTTAAGATGAATGGGGATGCAGACGAGGCAGGTTTACCATGACATGCCATCCCATTACAAGACCAGCGAAGATCCCATCCTTAGAAACAGCATGGAAACTGAGGTGGAGAGTGTATCGGGATAACACCAGCAGTGCTACCAGTGTAAGATCAGTGTTTCAAGTAACATTTTATTAATAATTCTTTTATTTATAAAAATAACATTCAAGCCAACCAATGGAATGCTGTGTAGCTATTAACGGGAATGAAGTAGCTTTATACTAAATGACAGAGAAAACTGTTCAGGACATATAATTGAGTCAGAAAAGCAGGTTATCCCATTTATATAAAACCTTAATTCAATCTTGAGAAACGCACGACTGAATGGATGGATGGAAGGAATGGAAGGATGGACAGAGACCCAGAAGAAAGGGTAAATGTGTAACAGAAAGAGCTTTTTTCTTTGAGGAGAAATTTCTAGATGTTTTTACTTTTCTCTTTCTCACGTTTCTGCACTGTTTGCATCTTCTACTCTAAGCATTTCCTTATATTACCTTCAGAACTAGAAAAAGTATTTGGGGGATGGGTGGAGAGTAGGAAAAAACAAGCCAGCAGTACAGCTTTTCCATTTTGTGAAAAGATAATTTAATCACAGAAAAACAAACAAAATTCCCTCATACTATCCTAACACATCCATTATTAACATTCTAATAAACTTCCTATCTAATTATTTTATTAATCATATGTTTGAGTAGATGTATCAAAATTGAAACAATCTTTATGGACGGTATTAAGCATTTAATGCTCTAATAAAGTGTCAAAACAAAGCCTGAACTCAACAGAATTTAATGAAAGATTGGCTCAATATTATCTAGATTAGAAGACAAAGTAGGTTACTAAGAAAAAGATGACTATTTACTCTGTACAGGCAGAACTTGACAGATGACGTACTTGAGTTACGATGGAACCGTTGGTTTTTTTGGTACGTCTTATTGTTAGTAACGTGTACTACATACAATGTTGCAGCTCGCAATCTGCGATGTTATCATTCTCAGATGCTCACTCACAGAGGTTCAAAGACTGGATTTATAAAGATGCTGATAATAAAAGGCAATAACAGTGAAAACTAAAAAAAAAGTATTCAACTCAGGTCGGAACCCACTTACTACGGTAGGAGTCTGAACGGAACATGGTCGTTAAGTCAGGGACTACCTGTATTCAAAGGGGCTCTGACACCAAAACTTAAGATGGTCACAGAGAAACAAATATTGACCTTCTGGCCATAACCTCACAAGCAAAGAAGGGCATCTATTCAAGGAGAATACGGAAAATATGGGCAAAAGTCCAAAACCTAAGGGTATGAGCTTTCACTAAAACTTTAATTTCAAATGACTGTATGTTTCATTTCTAGAGGTCATACTTGGTTTTCTTTCAAATGTGCTTTATCTATTTTGATAGAATGTTTTCAATCCCCTTTTACTTTTTTAAATATTTTAATTTTTTGATATAATTATTTTGCTTCACATCCAATAAATCCACCACTTCACCTTCTTAGGGATCTAATTCTGTTGTATGTGGTTTCTGCTGACTGTTACTCACAGTGATTTATTTCTTGTGTGTTCTATAGTTTCAGACTGCAAGCTCATGTCTGACATGGTGTCCATCTGTGGTAAGCCTTGAAAGCCTACGATGAGGACGCATCATACCAGAGAACCTGCTTTTGCTAGTTACCCTGGGGTATTACTAACTTAATATTTTTAAGTTACTTTCTTAGCTTGAGGTTTTCCCAGATGGTGCAGAAGTGTAAATCAAACTCCTAAACCGGGAAAATTCTCAGATTCTCAGGGAGGACTTTATTCCCCAAATCCAGAGCCCAGGCCAAGACAATTTTCTTAATCTCTTTGCCAGTAAGTGAATTTTCTTCTAGTCCTTTCTTTTATTAAAGATGTTAACCTTTGAGGGTCCCAGTGTTATGCAGGGTCTCAATCCAAACCCCAACCTAGTACAAACCCACAAAGGCCTGGCTTACTGTGCCTTGAGAAGAAATTAAAAGATAAACCATGGGATGATGGAAATCAGCAGGCCCCCAAGGGCCACCACAGGATCAGCGACAGAGTAACATTCCAGCAGCTCTTCATTTTTGACCCTTAGATTCTTATATTCTTGCAATCTCAGCTGTTCTTGTAAAGGATATTTGCTGTATTTTATCCAGCATTTCTAAGTAGTATTAAGCTTTATAATTTAGTTATTTTATAAAATCTCCCCCTGTACACAGTCATCTAGTCTCCCAAATACAAAGTTCTAGGATTTTTACAAAGTTTGAAAACACCCATCTTAGAGTCCGGTACCTACTGATCTATTCTAAATATAAGTTATCTTCTTACTCTTAAGGGTGTATTTCAACATGCCTCAACTATGATAATGAGAGATCTGGTTAAGGACTTACCTTCACTTTGGGTTTAGGTGCAGGGATCACCTTTTTCTTTGCCCTAAGAGAAAAGATTAAAGATGAGGCCCCCTCAGCAGTGTTTAGATCATTCGATAAGTAGCTGTAACATATAATTCTGTATTTACGTGGGTGATACTTTCTTCTACTATTGGGAAGGCTCTTGCTGGGAAAAAGTTATATATAGGAGCTCAATTTATATGTGAATATTAGCAAAATTTTTCCTAGTTTGGATTAACTGGAAAAAAGGCCAAATAATTAGTAAAATATAAAAGAGCTTCAGGCTCAAAATTAAATCTTGCAATAAGTTCTGCATAAGGTTTTACTTAACACACACACACACACACACACACACAAATTCTCAAGTTAAAAACTTTAAATGAAAAAATTGAAATAAAAAAATGTCAAAATGACAAAAAAAGGGGTGTGGAGGTGAGGGGGAGAAAAAATACTGTGGAACCTTGGAATCTCTGGAAACCAGTGTGAAAAAGTTTGAAGATTTAAAAAATCATACAGGTTCCATAGTCCGAAGTGCTCAATAAATGTCTGTTAAATAAAACTGAAGGGTTGACGGGCTAAGATATTGCACATTATCTGAATATTTCTACTTTACTAGATCAACACTGCCAATCTACAACTTAATTAAGGTAGTAATTTTCAAAGTGGAATACATGGGCAAAAAACCTCCAGGTCCCTTTATTCCACAGATTCCATTTTGGGGAACAAAACAAACAAAGTTAATAGTAATAGTGAAGTTATTTTTTAAAACTTCAGGGTAGAGGACCTATGTAAACACCTACTTTAGAATTAAAGGCACGAGTTATATACTTGAACCGTAACATGTGTGATTTTAGAATTATAAGGGAATTACAGGTTAGAAATATTATTGACAAAAATATATATTTTTCAGAGATAACTAAAACAGTTGAAATGCAGTAAGCTTATAGTGCATGAATCCATCCTAAAATTTATACTAAAGAACAAGAACTGAGAACCACAACCAACTCAACACATCCCTGGTCATATACTAGCAAAGTGTCCTTCCTAAAAACTGAAAAAAAGTATCTATTATAACCATATACAAACACAGGAGGAATTCTGTAACTTTGTCAAAATAGATGTGAACCAGATCTCTTAGTAACTTGCTAATTTTATATTGTACTAAGTCTTAATTTCTCACTTGTCGGGTACAGAGAAGTAGCATTAAGTTGTAAGTAAAAATAAAATTCTGGTAGAATCGACCAATATTCACCCAAAAAATGTAACCACAGAAAAAATTTGCCCTTTTACCTGTCTATCAGGAAGATAAGAGGTCTCTCTTTAGTTAAGACATCACTAAGGAAACATTTAGTTTTGAATAGAAGGAAGGACATGAAAAGTAGGTTTGTTTCTGGATACTCCATCTGCAGGGCCAGGCAGGGTAGGCATGAATACACAACCGTACGGTAAGCTAGGGCAGCTCCAGGCTACAGGTCACCTATGCAGGTGGTCATTAAGAGGTGGAGGAAAGGACACAAAAATACTGAGGGTCAAAGGCCCAGGAAAAAAGGAAAATACCCAATCCTTCCCATTTACACGGCTCCCTACTGCCCCACTACCAAGTCAACAAGATAGGCAACGTTATACGTCAGGTAGCCACCCGATGGCAACTAACACCACCACAACTCAGCAGGCTTCCGGAAACTAGCATGAGAACTATTTCAATACGTAAATGTGTTCTCAGGTCCAAACAGTCAACATTCAAAATGATTTTTTTAAAAGATGACGGAATATGGGGATCGCCTAAAAATACATTTGGGTCCTATTTTAGCTAGCATTTAACAAATGACATTTTGCTTACTAAAGTACATAACAGAAATAGAAATAAAGGAAGAAATCTAGAGTCTGCTTTTACTCACGGAGCAGAAGTAAGATGATTATGTACACTCCGGCTTTCTTTAAAAAGCATTCTGGAAAAAATAAAAATGACAATTTTTTTTATAGTAGATAATAACATATTAATCACTTTATTTACTTTTTAATTATTTGATTTTCAATATGCTATTACTTGCATATTTACCAAGTAAAAGTTGTCATGGTACAATAAACTCAATTATCCATTTTATAGGGAGCTTTATATCACCTCTATTTATTTAAATCTTTTCACAGACAAACAGATCTTTTCTGTAGATTTTAAGATGGAGCACTTTAACATGACAGGTTGAGATATCCCAGTTTACTAATTTTTAACATTCTTTACTTAAAACGCTTTAGACTTTCAACAGGGCTGCTCTTGTTTTCTGAGACACCGCTCTACGTTGGCTATTTTCAACAGAGCCTCACGCTGTGCGTGTCTCCTCTTCTAGGCTCCACATCTTGTACTCAGTTCCTTATTTTCGCATTACCCACATGAAGTTCCCCTCCCAAAGTTCTAAACCTTTCCTCTCCCTTTTTCTCTACTAGCTAATTCAGACGGCAAAAACAGTAAAAGTGGTCAGTAAAAATCACCTTTATATATGTCTCTGCATCCACGCAACTAATTGTTTTGTCTTTTAAGTGCTTGAAGTTTTCAAAGCAGAAACCACCTGAGATGGCCGTACAGAATGCTGAGCACGTTAGGTTCTTAGCAAAATGAACATCGTGTGTGCATGTGTGTTTAACAACAGCAACAGAAGAAAGTAAAACAAAGTCTAGGACGTCAGGTTTCTTACCTTGCCTGCATCCAGCCCTTAGGCCACAATGGTTTCACCTCTGTCTCCATAAAGGATTTAAGATAATCCTCAGCAGACTGGCTTTTATTTGGCTCTAACTCATAGCATCCCAATTTGATTTCAACAAGGTTACATAACAAAGTTCTAAACAGATTAAAAATATATATATTTATACATAAATCTGACTATAAAATTACAGAAAATTTAATTCTAAACAGGTTGTTTAAAAAGCACATAAATCTGACAGCAATGATACAGAATATTATCTGAGGAATTCAGAAAATGATATGAAGATAAATAATTTCTAACATATTCACTGTGCTACCGTCAATTCCCAACACGGAACAATTTCTTTGGATACCTTTAATCAAGGCCTCAAAGACTGGAAAGGACAGTCCTACACCTGTACCTCTACTTGGGGCAGAGAAATACTGCTGAGAAAGATGGCTGATCTATTTAAGTATACTAAATACTCCACCTTCTGAAATCAATATGACTTAATAAGTAATCAGAGGATTAGCTTATAAAAAGCATTATACAAAAATAAAAGTGATAGCTCCTAAGGATATCAGGATCAAATTATTCTTCTTAAGAACAATTAACTACATAACTAGTATATAGATAACTACCTACTATTCTTTGGTTGTTTCTAATCCAGTCCTCCATTTGCTGTAGATGTTTTTGACGAGGAACATTATTTTTGCCCTATCTATTTGGTTAGAAAAGAAGGCTTTGGTGGAATCTTACCTAATAGTGTCATCCCAGTGGAATTTCTTTCTTGGTCCTATGACACGTTTCCCTGGCTTCTCATCATCATCTTCCTCAGATCCATTTTTTTCTCGCTCTTCTTCTGTTTGCAACCTAAAAATGAAAATAATTTATGAAGCAAAGTTTTAACCCAATAATGTCTATAATATATGCTCCATAAATACTTGCTGAATTGCTTACTTAAATATTAACTCAAAAGATAAATGGGGGATCTACCTTTTAACATAATACTCTGAATCTGGAGTGAGAGATAAAGTAGTTGGTAGACTACAGTATAAAGGCATGAGTGCTCATCTTCCAGTTCGGAAAACATCTGTGTTCAGCCCTAGCCAGTAGAGTCAGCACATCCAACATCTGACCAGTGTCAGTTCTTGCTTGGGTCACGTCCACATATTCAGTCAACAGACATCTCCTGCCTCTGACACCACAATAACTGAGTGAGAAGTGACATATCATTAAGAAAATATGCAATGATGTCACTTCAGTGGTGTTGCTGGATTTCTACTTGGTGATGAGGTCACTTAAGACCAATCCCTAACAGCTAAAAGTATTTTTCAAATGCAAAACTCAGTCCAAACAGAAGTACATACTTGGCACACTTTGCTTGACTACGAGCCTGGCAGTCCTCCTGGTATTTAAACAGCTGTTCAGGCATGACATTGCTAACAGCCAATTTCAGCTTTTGCAGAGGTTCTCTTAAACGATCATCCTGAGAAGAAAATATACAAGTTTTTTCAAACATATTTACCAAATTTATTATGCAAACAGAGCCTCAAAAGATGAAGTTTTTGTTTTAGAAATTGATTATATATATTTGAAACATCAGCATATTTAAATATGGACATTTCTCCTATGGTTTTCATAATGCAAACTGTATATCATTAAGATGACCATATTTCCTATTAGCTAAGGAGAGTCGCTGAGTTGGAACCAACTCGACGGCATTAACAACACATACAGACTTTGTGATCTGCAAGAAGAAAATAATCAACCGGTTGATTAAAGTGGTCAAAAACAAACCTACTTGCTTCTTCCTTTGCCCTGAACCCACATGGGTAAGTATCTCCCAGTTTCCCTTTCACTGTGGCTTGATCTTTTTGCTTGCAGCCTAATTCACAATAACTAATAGTAAACCAGAGACCAGGATGCCAACATCCCATCGGTAGTCACCCAGATAAATCATGTGTTCCAGTGTTCCAGAGCAGTACGTCTTCTTGTGGCACTGTGTCCCCGGTGAAGTGGGAATTGTTGTTATTGTCAGGTGCCATCAAGTTGGTTCCAACTCATAGCAACCCTGTATACAACAGAACGAAACACTGCCAGGTCCTACGCTATCCTCACAATCGCTGCTATGCTTGAGCGCCCTGCTGCAGCCACTGTGTCAGTCCATCTCGTTGAGGGTCTTCCTATTTTTCGCTCACCTGATGTCCTTCTTGAGGGACTGTTCCCTCCTGATAACATGTCAAAAGTACGAGAGACAAATCATTGCTTCTAAGGAGTATACTGGCTGTACTTCTTCCAAGACAGATTTGTCTGTTCTTCTGGCAGTCAAAATTCTTGGTATATTGAAAATGCTTCAGCAACACCATAGTTCAAAGTCGTCAATTCTTCTTCAGTCTTTTTTATTCATCGTCCAGCTTTTCCACATACACGAGGCAATTGAAAATACCATGGCTTAAGTCAGGTGCACCTTGGTCCTCAAAGTGGTATCTTTGCTTTTCAACACTTTAAAGAAGCCTTTTGCAACAGATTGGCCCAATGCAATATGTCATTTGATTTCCTGACTGCTGCTTCCATGGGCGTTGATTGTGGATCCAAGTAAAATGAAATCCTTGACAACTTCAATGTTTTCTCCATTTATCATGATGTTGCTCAGAGGCCCAGTTGTGAGGATTTCTGTTTTCTTTATGCTCAGGTGTAATCCATACTGAAGGCTGTTATCCTCTGATCTTCATCAATAAATGCTTCAAGTTCTCTTCGCTTGCAGCAAACAAAGTTGTGTTATGTGAATATCACAGGTTATTAATGAGTCTTCCTCCAATTCTAACGTCCCATTCTTCTTCACACAGTCCACTTTTTTGGATTATTTGCTCAGCATACAGATTGAATAAGTATGGTGAAAGGTTACAACCCTAATGCACACCTTTCCCGATTTTAAACCACGCAATATCCCCTTCTTCTGTTTGAACAACTGTCTCTTGATCTATGTACAGGTTCCGCACGAGCACAATTACTTGTTCTGGAATTCCGATTCTTCGAAATGTTATCCATAATTTGTTATGATCCACACAGTCGAATGTCTTTGCATAGTTGATAAAACACAGGTAAACATCTTTTTGGCATTCTCTGCTTTCAGCCAAGATCCATCTGACATCAGCAATGATATCCCTTGCCCCGCGTCCTCTTTTGAAGCCAGCTTGAATTTCTGGCAGTTCCCTGTTGATGTACTGTTGCAACCACTTTTGAATTACCTTTAGCAAAATCTTACTGGCATGTGATATTAATGATATTGTTCAGTAATTTCCATATTCTGTTGTATTATCTTTCTTTGGAATAGGCATCAATATGAATCTCTTCCAGTTGGTTCGCCAGGTAGTTGTCTTGCAAATTGCTTGGCATAGATGAGTGAGCGCTTCCAGGGTTGCATCAGTCTGTTGAAACATGTCTATTGATCAATTCCTGGAGCCTTGTTTTTCGCCAATGCATTAAGTGCAGCTTGGACTTACTTTGATACCATTGGTTCTTGATCATATGCTACTTCCCGTAATGGCTCAACGCTGACCAGTTCTTTTTGGTACAGCGATTCTGTGTATTCTTTCCATCTTCTTTTGTTGCTTCCTGCGTCATTTGATTTTTCACCCACAGAATCCTTCGATATTGCAACTTGAGGCTTGAATTTTTTCTTCAGCTCTTTCAGCTTGAAAAATGCCAAAAATATTCTTCCCTTTTGGTTTTCTAACTCCAGATCTTCGCACATTTCATTATAATACTTTACTTTTGTCTTCTCGAGCCACCATTTGAAATCTTCTGCTCTTTTACCTCATCATTTCTTTCATTCACTTTAGCTACTCTATATTTAAAAGCCAGTTTCAGTCTCTTCTGACATTCATTTTAGTCTTTTCTTTCTTGCTTGTCTTTTTAATGACTCTTGGCTTTCTTTATGTATGATGTCCTTGTTGTCATCCCACAACTTGTCTGGTCTTCAGTCATTACTGTTCAATGTGTCAAATACATTCTTAAGATGGTCTCTAAATTCAGGTGGGATATACTCAAGGTTGTACTCTGGCTTTTGTAAACTTGCTTTGATTTTCTTCAGTTTCATATGAGCAACTGATGGTCTGTTCCACAGTCAGTCCTGACTTGTTCTGACTGATGATACTAAGCTTTTCCATTGTCAATTTCCACAAATGTAGTCAATTTGATTCTTGTGTATTCCATCTAGCAAAGTCCACATGTACAGTTGTTGTTTATGTTGTTGAAAAAAGGTATTTGCAATAAATAAGTCGTTGGTCTTGCAAAATTCTATCATGAGATCTCCAACATTGTTTCCATCACTATGGCCGTTATTTTCCAATTGCCAATCCTTCTTCTTTGTTTCCAACTTTTGCATTCCAATCACCAGCGATTATTAATGTATTGTGATTGAATGTTTGATCAATTTCAGACTGCAGAAGTTGGTATAAATCTTCAACTTCTTCACCTTTTGCCTTATTTTGTTTTGATATGCCCAAATAGGTGGTCACACGAGCTAGTTTGATTATTGTCATCTTTTAAGCTCTCATGTCCTGTTACCAGGTGGTTAAAGCTGCTACTAGGTATGTGAGTCCAGGAGTCCATTAACTTTTCTTGTATGGATGCAGATCAGGTGTCTAGGTAGTCAGTCACCAAGTGTGTGGTGCAGGCTATCATCTACAGTCCTAGAAGGGCAGGGGGATTGAAGTAGGCACAGGTATCTGCCTGCAGTAGGGGGTCATGTGCTGAGCAAGGCAGGGGGCTGACGGCTGCCCAAGTGTCTGGGAGGAAAGTGTGTCCCTGTTCCCTAAAGCACATTTGTGGTTGGGTTTTTCAGCCAGACTATGGACACCCAATGCTGTTGGCTGGAAGGACCGGGAGGTACCACTTATTCTTGGACCCCTGTGGCAGGTGGCTAGGTGGCATGGGTGGAGTCACCAGTCCTCAGGACACTGATGTGGGTAGGTGAGGACCCTGCTTAATGGGCAGTGCGGTGTCAAACGTCACAAATCTGCCACTCCCAATTATAGATGATACAGCTGAAAATAGGTTTCAGGTATATACCCTGTCGTACTGTGCTAATGAGGGCCTACTGCTGAAACGGGCCCACACAGGTCTATGCAGGGGTGAAAGGCATTCAAAGTCCGTGGACCTCTTATGCCTGTGCCTAGGCAAAGGAGCTGTGCCTTCCGAGTTTCCGGCTTAAGGAAGCTGGCAAATTATTTTTTCCTGTTTGTTCACTTGTTCCCTCTCCAAGGCCGGAGAATGGCTCAGGGAGCATAAGGGGTCCTACTTCTGGTCCAGGGGGGCGGCAATCGCTGAAGCCAGACCAGGATGGTGCAGAGTGGGGAGGGAGGAGGTAAACGGGAGAAAGGTTCTTCCCAAAGGGGTTAGTTTTTTGATCCGTGGGCAGGTAGGTGCATGTACTTATCTTCTGTCGATTGAGTGCCGCTTCTCGCTAGTTCTGGAGGCTTGAGCAGACTCTCCACCGCTTGGTCTCTCCCGTTATGGAAAACATATCCCTAGCACCACTGCCTGCCTCACCGCGTGCAAGCGGACCCAGCCTGCAGTGTGCTGGTGCCGGCCAGGTCAGTTCTGGCAACTCCTCACTGCTTCTGAACTGTCTCTCCCTCTCCCACTGCTCAGTCTGATTCCTCAACTTTGCCTTTAATGTTCAAGGCTCCTAGATTGTCATATATAATCGATTCACTTGTTTTTTCGGGTTTGTGTTGTTAAGAGGGACCACAGGAAGCATCTGACTACTCCGTCATCTTGGCCCTGCCTCCTCCTGATGTATAAATTCAAATAATAGTCCTATTAACTGGTCTTCCTTGTAGGTGTATGGATATTATCCTATCATTGACAGGGTTGTACTTCAGGATAGATTTCGAGATGTTCTTTTTGATGATGAATGCAATGCCATTCCTCTTCAATTTGTCATTCCTTGCACAGTAGACCACAGGACTGACCAATTCAATATGGCCAATTCCAGTCCATGTCAGCTCACTAATGCCTCGGATATCGATCTTTATGCGTAGCAGTTCATTTTTTGACAACTTCCAATTTTCCTATATTCATACTTACTACATTCCACATTCCCATTATTTATGGATGCTTGCAGCTATTTCTTCTCATTCTGAGTCGTGTCACATCAGCAAATGAAGGTCCCGAAAGTTTTTCTCCATCCACATCATTAAGGTCAACTCTACTTTGAGGAAGGAGCCCTGGTGGCGCAGTGATTAAGCATCTGGCCGCTAACCAAAAGGCCCACCAGCTGCTCCATGGGAGAAAGATGTGGCAGTCTTTCAAATATTACAGCCTCGGAAACCCTATAGGAAGTTCTACTCTGTCCTACAGGGTTGCTATGAGGTGGAATCGACTCACTGGCAACGAGTTTGGGGCTACTTTGAGGAGCCAGCTCCCCTCGAGTCGTATTTTGAGTGTCTTCCAACCTGATGGGCTCATCTTCCGGCACTGTATCAGACAACATTCCACAGCTATTCATAAGGTTTTCACTGGCCAATTTTTTTAGAAGTATATCACCAGGTCCTTCTTCCTAGTGTGTCTTAGTCTGGAAGCTCTGCTAAAACCTGTCCACCTTGGGTGACCCTGCTGGCATTTGAAATACCAGTAGCATAGCTTCCAGCATCATAGCAACACACAAGCCACCACATACTTTTAGTACTGTTACAGGTGCAGAAAGATTATAATCGTAAAACTCTCTAGTCCCTAACTTTGCTTTTCTTCATTGAAACAGCTGTTTTTAAAATGTGATTTTGGGCAAGGTGGAGTTTTTAAGAGTGCAACCATCATGCTATGACAGGTCTTTAATGTAAAATTATTAATAAAAATATAAATATTATTGCTAATATGCATTTTAACCTATTCCATGCACACCAATTAATAAATATTATAGCACCTATGATAGCATCTGCTATAAAGTCCCATTTTAAAAACGTGAATATCCAGTATCATGGTCTGCATGATCACTTTCTAAGAATTATGTAGCTGAGACTTTTTACCTGGACAAAAGCCAAACATCCATCAACAGCAGAATAAAAAAGTTAACTGGGAAATATTTCATACAGCAGAATATTACATACACAAATAATGTAAAAATGAATGGATTTATATACTCATATACGGTTTGGGGGCAAATGAAACAGTTTTATTGTGGGGAGAAATGAAACATTTGTATGAGGTCCCTAAGGGTTCTCAGAATATGAAGCATTTCAGCTCTTAGAATATGAAGCATTTTAGCTCTAACAGAGTTCTGCCTCACCTTGGGTCTCTTTGGCCTTACGGGCTATCAAAAATGTTACTGTGAGTTTACTCATTTATTGTGTTATCCAATCTTCTTCACCTGTTTCACGTGTCTACATTCTCTCTCTTCAGTTGTTTAACTGTAAATAGCACCTAAACAATTATACCATGCTTTTTTTCCTTCTGTACACCATGTCTGTGTTTAATATGGTGCCTCTCACAAAAACAGGTAATCAATAAATAATTCCTAATTACAAAAAAAAAAGGATTTTCACTATGTGTAAAAAACAGATAAATTTGGGTTACATAATATTGAGGGTAAAAAAGTAAACTGCAGAAGAAAATAGTATGAATCCATTTATATGAAGCTCAAAAACACAAAACTGCATAATATAATGTGTACAGATAAAAATATATGTGATAAAATTAAATAGAGAAAAGCAAGGAAAAAGTCTACGTCTTTCTTCCATAGCCACATCAAATACTTCAAACATCAAACCTAAAATGTTACTAAGAAAATACTTTAATCCGCAAAAAGTTGTTTTCCCACTTCTAGTTCTTTCATATCGGCCCCCCCATTTCTGTCATTTGAACATTTAGCAGTAGGCTCCAACCGTCAACATCTGGAGGAACCAGGCACAGGCACAAACCTGATACCTCAAGTAAATTTCATTTATTCATTACAGTTGTACCATATTTTTATGCAAATAACATGTACTTTCTATATTAGTTTGCCAACCACGCCCTCCCCCCAGCGATATTTTTGTTAAGTGCACTATGCTAATGTTTTTTACAGCAGCATGTAAAAAAAAATGTCTCCTATGGTTATTAAATACATACGATATGACTACAAAGCCATTCATGTGCAAAGGCCCCAAGCAGAAACCAGTCTCCTCATTTTACAGGCTACAAACCCCCCAGAGCAGATGATCTTCCTCTTACCTGGACATTGAGATGTAACTTCTTTAGACGTTTCACCAGCGTTTCCTTATTGCATGGCACAAAGGCTTCAAGATGGGAATAGACAGCACTACGAATGACAGGGCCGAGCTCTTGCAGCTGTAACTCAATGCTGACCAAAAACAATAAGAAATAAACAGTGCAGCATTTCTTTCAGGTGGCAAGAAGGCAACAGTAGTGGTTCTTTTCTTATTTTGTCTTTCCCTGGTTTCCTAGACTATATTTTTCATTGGAAAAAACACCCCACTAAAAGTACTGCTACAGAAGAGTCTAGTTTAAGAGTAGAATTTATATAAATTACAAACAAGCTGACAAATGATTTTTTGGTAACAAGGGCAAAGTCTATGTTTAAGGGTAAAGCACAGGTACCCCATTATTAGCCGAAAACTCATTTATTCAAAGATACAGCCACGCCTCCCAGTAATTGCTAAACTAAGCTGACAGTCACATAGTATCACGGAGTTCTTAGTTTTCCTTAGAGGGGTTTGAAAAAACTACAGATTCAGAAGAGGTAAAGCCCTGTGGTTACACACACGGGCTGTTTTCCCCATCTTTGTTTCCTTTATTGTTCCTGCACTATATAGATACTTAATGGTTTGTTCATTTTATTCAAATTCTCTAGTTCCTATTTCTATTTATAAATTAAGTTTTTGAGAAAGAAAATAATTTACTAAACGGGTATTTAGTCTAATAGTAATAAAAAAAAGAGAGAGAGAGAGAGAAGAGAAAGAGCTTATAACAGTCATCCTATTTTTAGCAGGGTAAGCCTACTAATAAACAGTTGAGGCTCTTCCCAAGATGGAAGACATTAGACCAAGTAGTTGCTACTGAAGGAAGATCACAATACGTGGTAATTCAAAGGCCAAGACCAAACTGGGGCTCTTGGCAACAAACTAGGTCCAAATCATTACACTTTATTACAAGAGAAGGTGCAGACAGACTTAAGTACCTCTCACAAATCTAAGATGAATTCAAAGATTCAACTACATGGGAAGAAAAGAAACCCTACCATACCAAATGCATCCATTACCAATAAGATACACTGCAATTTCAGAAACAATGAAATGTGGAAAACCGTGCTTCCTAGAGTCGGTAATAGAAAATTATTGGTATTAGACAAGCTAGACAGACAATAAAAAAAGTTTACAACTTATAAGAAGCAGAGCGTCAAACACAGAGGCTCCCGTGGAAAAATCACTGTGGTCATGAATTTCACGCATAAACCTTTTGCCATGGATTGAACTGTGTCCCTCAAAAACTTGTCAACTTGGTTAGGCCATCATTCCTAGTATTATGCGATTGTCCACCATTTTGTCATCTGATGTGATTTCCCTATGTGTTGTAAATCCTATCACTGTGTTAATGAGATGGATTAACAGCAATTATATTTATAAGCTCTACAAGATTATATAGTGTCTTAAGCCAGTCTCTTCTGGGATATAATAGAGAGTAGCAAGCAGAGGCACAGGGACTTCATACCACCAAGAAAGCAACACCAGGAGCAGAGTACGCCCTTTGGACCTGAGGTTCCTGGGCGGAGAAGCTCCTAGACCAAGGGAAGATTGATGACCTTCCTTCAAAGCCGACAGAGAGAAAAAGACTTCCCTTGGAGATGACGCCCTGAATTTGGACTTATAGTTTACTAGAGTGTGAGAGAATAAATTTCTCTTTTTTAAAGCCATCCACTTGTGGTATTTCTGTTACAGCAGCAATGGATAACTAAGACACCTTTGGTTAGATAACATAATGTGGTTAGATCTTTATTAAAAAATCTGGGTAGGAGGCCTTCTAGGCTTGCTGAAGGTAAGTTGAAGCTGAAAATAAAATAGAACCTCTGAGTGCTAATAGAGTGCAGGTAAAAGACAGGCTGACTCAATGACCTACTCATAAAAGTCAGTGGTTTCCTAAGAGGCGATATCTTAGATGCAGGAAGAGCTGACTCCCTGTTTCTAAGCAAACAGATACTAGGTAAAAATTTGATAAAGAAATTTATTAATCCTAGAGGTTGCTGACTATATGGAACACATGTACAAATTTCTATTGCAGAGTAGTATACTTTAAACACACATTCCTAACACACCTACTTTAATATTCTTTTTCCTCACTAGGAATTCCAATTAAAATCTAAGAAGTATTTGGGACAACTAAAAATCACAGCAATGAATATCTGAATCTCCTCAGACATTGCCACAGATTCTATGAAAATAAAGGTATCTGACCTTCTTTAAGGATAAACTTTCTCAAGCCCTCCCCAGTCTCCCCACCAGGTTCCAGTATCCTGGATTCGGGCTCCTTTTCCTTCCTTAAACGAAATCTATCCCAAAAGCAGACAGCATTCCATGAAGGGTCGTAAGAATGGGCCTGAGACGTCTGATAATAAATCATGAGCACGAGATCATGAAAGGCTCTGTCAATGAACTGGAGCTAAGAGTGAGTAAGTAGGCTGGAAGTCCACCATTACACCCCTAGTTATACAAGGCTCTCATTTGCCTCCAGAGAAGCTTTAGAGAAATGCAACATGGGAATCCATAGCTGGAGCAATGGCCCCTTTGTAAACAAGATTCTTCTGCTCAGAAATTTTCTCTCAGGATTCTAGGAATACAGCTCTTTCCCCATAGTTAACAAGTGACGTATCTTTCCATTACATCAACTCCCTCTTTTTAAGAAACAGAATAGATATTTCTCATTCAGTCAGTTAAAAACACTAGAAAATCTCTGACTAATTAGAGTTGAACGAATTCTGAAATCTAATGAATTTCCTAGATTTTTCCTCAAGAATTTCAGATATCCTAATATTCTCCAAATAATACAGCCATCGAAAACTACCAACTGAAGGAAGACTTACGGAGCAATAACCCAAACCCAAAGTTTAAAATAACTCTTATTTATAGCAGGAATTCAAACGCTCATTGACATGTTAGTTGATAACAGACAAGAACGGCCTTTCCTGTTCCTAAACAGCCACTGTATGCAGTTGGATGGGCTCTAGTGTTACCTGAAGAGGCTCGGTGTTGACTAGGGTAAAGAAACAGTTGAAAACTGTGTAGGGTTTCTCCAACTGCAAAGTATCACCTCAAAAAAAGTAATGGAAACACTGTGGTACAGGATCAACCCTTTCACTCTAGTAATCTCCCTTTATTTCACAGGGAAAGAGAGAGAGCAAGAGAGCGACTGGTTGATTCATGAGTCCCTTCATACTGAGATTCGAAAGTCACTAGTCACTCGTGAGCTCCTTAAAGAAGCATCTGACGATTAGATGGTAAACAGAACCTCTCGGGAGTATCAGCTGTATTTCGATGGTGTCCGGTTGGGTTTATTGTTAGTACCTGCCTACAGCAATTCGTTGAGCAGCACTCTCAGGATGAATCAGATCATAGGCAAACAGCACCATGATTCATGAGTAAAGCTTGCTTCAGGCAAAGGAGGAGACAGGGAAGGGGACTGAGTCAGCATGCTGTATATTTGCTGACCCAGGCCAAATTCAATTAGGCAAAAGGAAAGACGGTTCCCTATTCCAACAAACTGGTATCTTTCTCCCCAGCATTAGGAAGCAATGGTGAGGCAGAGCCAATATCCTTGAATTATTTCATGAGAATCACTACCTTAAATAATCAATTAGGGAGCAGCCCAGTCCCGAGACTAGGAAAGTGGAAAAAGAGGCCAGAGGGAGTAAGAACTTGAATAAAAGGGAAAAAACTCAACTCTAAACACCAGGGCCTGAGGAGTTGGGGACGTAGCTTCTGAGAAATAATAGATGGATGGACTCCAAAAATTGATAGCCCGTGCTTTCAGACAGACACAGGAGAAGCTAATGGAATGCTGACATTCTGCTACCTTGAGATGCTAAGTCCCAAGGAAGGTCTTTTGACTTCCCCAGGGAACAAACAGTTGTTCCCTCTCACAGAAGCGTAGAATAGACAAGAACAGTCTCAGTCACAGGAGGACCTGATCCAGTCTGCTCAGGGCTCCCGGTGGAAAGAAAAAGAAGAGCTTGTCAGATCCCTGATTACGGAATCTGGGGCAGCTCTGATGAGCAATGGCTACAATGGCTACGGAGTCTGGAGTTTAAAAGGGAGTCAGGTAGAATGTGAGGGAGCAAACAGGAAGCATTTGTCTTGCTTCCAGACAGGCAGAATCAATCCAAAACTCCCTGGCTAAAATAAAGAACAGGAACAAGAAAGTTCTCTGCCACTGTAATAGCTGCATACTAAGCTGCATACTATGTTTCATGTGTCCATGGTGACCAAAACTATTTTTTAATGAGATAGTGAGGGACTGCAATTAATTTTAACAGCTATCAGAACTTCCTTCTTTTTATCTCATGACAAACTATCTCCATTAAGTATTTAAAAGACAGGAATCACAGCACTAGAAGCACTGCTTTCCTCTTTCTTTCCATAGGATGCTACTGAACCACCAAGCACAGGCATGCACTACTTTCATCAGAGAGGGGCAAAACCTGCAGCCTTCTCCATGATCACTTCTCTTATGACCCGTTCTGCTTGGAGTCAATTATACACTCAATTCCTACCACCAACGGTCAAAATCTACAAGCCAGTGGGTTTATGGGGTACAGCTTACATGACGACTGCAGAACCACAGCTTCATTAGGACCAAACTCTAATCAAGAGTGCAAAATTATCACTAATTTAATCTATAAGTAGGTAAATATACGGAAATTAATGTTTATTACCCATTGCCGTCTAGTCGATACCGACTCACAGCAACCCTACAAAGAAGGACATCATGCTTGGTAAAGTAGAGGGTCAGCAAAAAAGAGGAAGACCCTTAGGAAGACGGATTGACACAGTGGTTTTAACAATGGGCTTAAACACAGCAACGACTGTGAGGATAGTGCGGGACTGGGCAGTGTTTCCTTCTGTTGTACATACGGTCACGATGAGTTGGAAATGACTTGATGGCACCTAACAACAATAATGTCTATTAGTGGTGGGGGTGGGGATGGGGGAGAGTGGGAGAAGTACTCCCTAGGTAGCAGTCACTTTTTGTTTATAGAAATGGGAAAGGTGGCACCAAGTATGGGTGAAGTCTGCACAGCATGACTGATGTAACTGATGTCAATAAGCTGTACATACAGAAAAGGGACAAATGGGCAAATGCTAGCTTATATATGGCTCTGCAACAAAAAACAATGACCAAAAAGTGGGGGTGGTGCCTACAGATGCTAATACTAATTAGATATAACCAATCACCTCATGAGATTAGTTCTGTAGGTTTGGGGGCTTAGGGCTGTCTCATGGAACGATCCAGTCATTCGGCATAATATACTTATATAGTTCTTGAAGTTTATGTTCTTCATCCCAGTATGGCAAGTGGTGTCTGGGGTCTTAAAAGCTAAGAATGGACATCTAAGATACAACTACTGATCTTTATTCATCTGGAACAACAGAGAAAGAAGGAAATCCAAGAATTAAAGCAGGAACTGAACTACAGGACTGTCTCCATGAATCACTGTCTCCTTCACCCTGAGACCAGAAGAACTAGATGGTGCCCAGCTACCACTACCTAATGTGGTACATAATTATAATTACCTAATCGGAACATAATAGAAAATCCTGATAAAAAGGGAGAAAATGTGGAATAAAACTTCAAATTCTTAAAGAATTCAGACTTACTAGACCTATTGAGTCTGGTGGAGTCCCAGAGACTATGACCCCGAGTTGCTCTTGAAACCCTGAATTGAAACTATCTCCTGAAGTCACCTTTAAACTTAGTAACAGGTTAGCCCAAAGAGTAAAGATTGTCACCCTTGAGTATTGTCATGGTTTGAATTATGTCCCCCAAAAAATGTGTGTATCAATTTGGCTGGGCCATGATTCCCAGAATTGCACGGCTGGCCTCCATTTTGTGATTGTAATTTTATGTTAAAGAGGATTAGGGTGGGACTGTAACACCACCTTTACCCAGGTCACATCCCTGATCCAATGAAAAGGGAGTTTCCCTGGAGTGTGGCCTGCACCACCTTTTATCTCTCAAGAGATAAAAGGAAAGGGAAGCAAGCAGAGAATTGGGGGACCTCATACCATCAAGAAAGCAGTGCCGGGAGCAGAGCTCATCCTTTGGACTGGGGTCCCTGTGCCGAGAAGCTCCTAGTACCAGGGAACACTGATGAGAAGGCTGACAGAGAGAGAAAGCCTTCCCCTGGAGCTGATGCCCTGAATTTGGACTTGTAGCCTACCTTACTGTGAAGAAATAAATTTCTCTTTGTGAAAGCTATCCACTTGTGGTATTTCTGTTGTAGCAGCAGTAGATGACTAAGACAAGTATGTTTAAAAAAAAAAACTATGTAAGACCGAAGGGTCAACAGCTATTGTAAAGCATAGATGAGAAGGCTGGGGGCAGGAAGACTAAATAAATAGAAGTGAAACAACTAGAACAGAAATAACTAGAATGTTGACACAATGTAAAGAATGTAACCAATGCCACTGATCGTTTTGTCTAGAAATTGTGAAATGGGAATGGATTTTGCTGTATATATTTTCACCAAAAATAAAATTTGAAAAATACAATTGATATCATATACCAGCCTTCACCCCCTCCTTTCCAATCTAACTTCCGTCTTCTCCACACTGCTCATCCCAACCCCACAACCATGATTTTTTCATTCAACCATGCTTTCCATTTGACTATAAAAATCTGCACAAATTATAATTAACCTCACTAGTTGTCAATGGAATTATTTTTCCCGAGTCTGGATAATGAAAGTAGATGGAAAATTATACCAAATGTAGTATAAACACTCTGAGCTTTCCAGAAAGGTATTTTCATATAACCCACTGCCATGGAGCCGATTCTGACTCACAGTGACCCTGTAGGACAGGGTAGAACTGTTCCATAGGGTTTTCAAGGCCATAATCTTTATGGAAGCAGAATGCCACATCTTTCTCCTGAGGAGCAGCTGGTGGGTTCAAACCACCGACCTTTCGGTTAGCAGCTGAGTGATTAACCACTGCACCACCAGAGCGACATAAAATATATTTAAGTCTAGGTAAATAGTCAACCTTTACAATGGTCATTTTTCGCAGGCAGACATAATATTGGAAGTTTTGACTTCGTAAGTGGTTCTTGAAAATCATGACATGCAGAAGCATAGTTTTGCCGAGAAACAAATGTTAGTCATTCAGCTGTGAGGCCAAGAGGAGGAGCTAATGCACGAGACAACCAACCCCTCAACAGCTGTATGTCAAAGGCCTTCCTTCTATATTTTAAGGGCATAAAATAATTCTTAAAGTTTTTTTCATCAAAGAAGAAAATTACTTACTCCAGAAGAATATTATTCATATCCTGTGTAAAGAATTTTTTCCTTCCCTCTTCATCAAAAAGTTTGGCAGCCTAGAAAAACATAAGATTGTCAATGTAACTCACAGTGAACAATTACTTTCAGATGAATACCTAATGAGGAAAAACCCAGAACTTCCTATTAGAAGAGTACTACATGAGTTGTGGCCCATTCGAGACCCAGATTCACATGGATATTGTATTAGTTTCCTGCAGCTGCTGTAACAAATGATCACGATAGAAATTTATTCTCTCACAGTACTGGAGGACAGAAGTTCAAAATCAGCATCACTGGGCTGAAAGCAAGGTGTCAGCAAGGCTGCACTCCCTCCAGAAGTTCTAGGGGAGACTCTGTTCCTTGCCTACAGACTCTGGTGGCTGCCAGCATTCCCTGGCATGTGGTTGCATCACTTCAATCTTTAAGACCAGCATCTTCAAATCTCTCTCTGCTTTATCTTCACATCACCTTCTCCTCTGTCTGTAGAATCTCCCTCTCTTCTAAGGATACATATGATTGCATTTAGTGCCGCCTGGATAATCCAGGATACTCTCCCCCTCTCAAGATCCTTAACTTAGTCACATATGCAAAATATATATATATATATATTTTTCTTTTGCCATATGAGGTAACACTGACAGTTTCCAGGGATTATGCATGATGTGGATATCTTTGAGGGAGCCATTTTTCAGCCTTCCACAGATGGCATGTTAAAAATCTGTAAAAGTTATATGAGTCTAAGAATATGAAAGAATGAAAGATCAAGTTCCATCAAGTTTAATGGTCTTTAGAATTAAACAGAAAAAACACTTAGAAATATTATAGGTAAAGAAATGTGAGGTCCAATCGCATGGTCAATCCACACTGAAGTTGCAGACATCTGTGAGCAGACAGAAGCATCTGGTAACGTATCTAACTTGAATCCAACGATGCAGACGGTGATCATGTTACGGCATCACTGATACAACAATTGTATGTCAGGTTCCCAGAATTCCATCAGGATCTCTGAGAGGAATCCAGCTAACAATGTAGCTGAACTCTGTGACTAGGGCATCAGGCATATAAAGGGGGAAAATGAACCTTAGATATGGTCAGGAAAGGAAATTAGTAGAGTTGATAATCTCCAAAAGGAAGTTAAAAGCCAAATACGTAGTAAATAAGTAAAATAATATGGAACTGATGGTACAATGGTTGAATAAACTAAAAGATTTTTAACAGATCATTTAACTGATGGTTTAGTGAAGGGAAAGACAGTATTTAAAAAGATACAATATGAATAATAAACTAGCAATGAATTTTTAAGATTCAACCCTTATCACAGGTTCTAAGGATGAAACTGAAAATTAAATAACCCTTTTCTCTTCGTGGTGCCTTCAGTGCTTACCAAAGGCTTCAATAAAGGACAGACATATTTCCTTTGAGTAAAGTAAGAACTTTTTTTTAGAATTTTAAGCTTTGTAACCTTACAAGCCTTTATAAGGTCTAGTAACAGAAAATTAGATTTAATCCCCCAGTATTCACAAATGTGTATGTATATATATACAAAACATTATACAGCAATACTCAGTGGGCCTACCTTCAATGTACTAACATTTTTTGTTCTGTTTTATTTCATTTATTAAAAATGCTGGTCTTTACCTACACTAAAGTGATTTCACAGCCCATTAATGAGTCTCAACCCACAGTTAAAAAAACAAGACATTATTTATTGACGTATCTATTTACTAGAGAATAAGCTTTTTGAGGGTAGGGCTATGACTAACTTATCTCTGCATCCTCAGGACTCAGCTTAATACTTGCCATAAAGTAGGCAATTAAAGAGTGCTAAAACAAACTTTCACCCACGTATTGTTCTTTTATATTAAAGTCCATATTTAGTTTATCTCAATCTTCCTAAATTCACACAACTATACATACAAGACCTTTGTAGCGCTTTGGGTGTCTTGTGTGTTTTGACTATCCCTAAGGGTTATCAGGAAACCCTGGTGGTGTAGTGGTTAAGAGCTATGGCTGCTAACCAAAAGGTCGGTAGTTCGAATCCACCAGGCGCTCCTTGGGAACCCTATGGGGCAGTTCTACTCTGTCCTATAGGGTCGCTGGGAGTTGGAATCGACTCGACGGCCATCGGTTTTAAGGGTTATCAACTCTTGCTGTGATCTGCAGGATAACAGAGCACAGAGGCCTCACTCTGCAGAGACATGACTCTACAATGGGTCAGACATCCTAGCATACACTTTATGTTCATTACCAGGTTTGCTGTTGTCAGTTGCCATCAAGCTGATTCTGACTCAGGGCGCCCTGTGTCTGCAGAACAGAACTGCTCCACAGGGTTTTCAAGGCTGTGACCTCTCAGAAGCAGACCGCCAGGCCTGTCTCCTGAGGCGCCTCTGGGTGAGTTCAAACCGCCAACCTATCCTCCTAATATCCTGAAGAAGATGGTATTATAGGCCCCACATTGTAAAAAGGAACCTAATTCTTACACAGGTTACACCATGTGCCTGAAATCATACTGTAAGCAAGCAGTGGATACGTGATCCACACCAGAGCTTTCTGACTTCAACTGTGCAGCACTGCCAACAGCACAAAGATACTCTGCTCACTGCAAACGTAAGAACAACAAAAAGATTCGCTGAGATCAGGGAGAAGCAAAAAGATTAAATAAGTGTAGTATTTCCACCGCTGTCTCCCAGTTTAACCAGCTGACCAGAAACAAACAGTATGTAAACCAAGACACTCTGCCATCATCACCTGGGGCAGAATTCCCCTCGAGATCCATGAGATGCACAACACCGAGACCCAATCCAATAACCCATGCAAGCATGAGCCAACCCTTTCAATCTGCCAAGCTCTCTGACAACTTCACATGCTATAAATAGGAGAAGCAGCTTTCTGAAAGTGCTTCAGCACTTCTCAGAAGGGTCAAGACCATGGATGCGTGGGGGACAGAAGTATAGGAAGAAAGCCAGAATGAAAACTAAACCTCAAGAAAGGGAATCAAAAACAGTCAAGAGGCTGAACAAAAGAATGGAATGGAATTCTTTCTAAAAGAATGTTACAAAGTGAGAAAGTACAAGAAGAAGAAAACCCTGATCAGACAAATATGAGCACTTTGGCTGAGGATGAATTCTCATCTCCTGAAGAAAGAATACCAATTCAAATTCCAAAGAAAACTATGGAAAATTCACAGAGATCAGTAAGTAAAATGCATCCTGTTACTGAGAATTTCCAAAAAAGGGGTCAGGAAGGAGCTGTATGAAGCCTGGCACGGCCCCTACAGAGATAGATGATCATTTCTGACATATGAGACATGATCGGGCCCGATAACCTTCAAAGCCACCTGTTACTGATCCATTCTGATGATTGAGTGAGAATGACAGCCTATAACCCGTCAGGCACAGGGGAAGCTGAGAAGCATGGCCGCCCTGATTTTGAATCCTGGCTTAGCCACTTGAAAACTACATAGGCGTGGGCATATCACTTCTGAACCTTAGCTTCCTCATCCACCAAATGACTGACAGGACTAGACCACACAGTCCATACATCACACCAGCCAGGCGCTGTCTCCTGCAAGGCACACAGTACCTTGTGCAGGAGTGTGGCACAGCAGCACTGGTTTGTGGGAAATGAACAATAGCAACTATTACTAATAACTACATCTCGAAAGACCTGGGTCACTCCACTAGAGAAAGTTAAGGATTTTAGGCGTGAGGTACCATGGGATGGCGAAAAGCCTGCACTCTGAAGTCAGGTGAACCTCTCAGCTTAAATACTGGCTCGACCACTTACTAGCTGTGTGGCCTTGACCAAGTTCTTTAACCTGCCTCCACTTCAGTTTCTTAACCACAAAAAGGAAATAATATCTACACGTCATACACAAGGTTGTTGAGAAGATTAAAAAAGAAATCTATTTGTGTAATTAGTAAAACTGTAAGTAGATTATATAACTTCCAAAAAAATTAAGCACAGAAAGTAGCAAAAGAATGAAAACAAAGGATGGGGAAGGAATAATAAAACAAAATATTTAAAAAATTGATTTTACAAAAGAAAGATCAACTACATCATTATAACAAATGTATTAAGATAAAATCATTTGGTAAAAGAAAAATAAAGAAATTAGGTCAACAAACTAATTTCCGTTCATACACTATCCATGAGAGAAAGAGCTAAAACAAAGAAACTCAAAAAGTTTAAAAGTAAACAATGGGTAAAGCAACGACATGCAAAAATAAGCAAAGAGAAAGGAATGACTACAGGAAAATTAGACAGCTGAAGTGAAGGAGAAAAGCATTATTAGGGTAATGTAAAGAGAATCACCACAATGAACATACAACCATCAGCAATCTTATGGGCCAAACAACACAGCACACCAATAACTGTAGTAAAAACTACAGTAAACATAAGCTATAGCTGGAAAAAACACTGGTAATGAGATACTGTAACACACTTCTCTGAGTCCTGGACTGATGAAGTTGACCAAAATAAAACTAGTAAAGCTATAGAGAAGTCAATTAATGAGTCATGACTTCAGAAGAAACATTAATGAAAAATAGAAAAGAGAACTGATAAATAAAATCCAAGTGCCAGTTGTTGGAAAAATTAGACAAATCTTTCACTCCCCTAATCAGATATTTAAAATTGAGAAAGAGCTAAGAGAAATAAATATAACATGTTGTTGTTAGGTGCCGTCGAGTCACTTCCGACTCATAGTGATCCCATGCACAACATAACGCAACACTGCCCAGTCCTGTACCATCCTCACAAACACTGACATGTTTGAGCCCATCATTGCAGCCACTGTCAATTCATCTCATTGAAGGTCTTCCTCCTTTTCACTGACCCTCTATTTTACCAAGCATGATATCCTTCTCCAGGAACTGGTCTATCCTATTAACATGATTAAAGTACATGGGACAAAGTCTCACCATCCTCGCTTGTAAGTAGCATTCTGGCCATATTTCTTCCAAGATAGATTTGTTTATTCTTCTGGCAGTCCATCATACAGTCAATATTCTTCACCAACACCATAACTCAAAGGTATCAATTCTTCTTGGGTCTTCCTTATTCATTGTTCAGCTTTCACACGCATATCAGGTGACTGAAAAGACCATGGCTTGGTCAGGCGCACTTTAGTCCTCAAAGTGACATCTCGCTTTTTATAACACTTTAAAGAGGTCTCTTGCAGCAGATTTGCCCAATGCAATACGTCATTTGATTTCTTGACTGCTGCTTCCATTGGTGT